CAGCACTGAATAGTTGTCCTTATCTTGAGGGGATAACCATTAGATATTTTTGTTTAACATCAGAGTCCGCAATATTCCTGCTGTATGATGACAGCCAGTAATTTTATAACCAAACGCCCCATGTCAATGCCATCAACCAAGTCACAAAGCCTGACCAAGCAATCCATTTTGTTGCCTTGTATGACAAGCGTTGGTAGCAGGAGATGACATATAGATAACCCTTGCATACACCCAACTGAAGTCATCAATGCTCATGACCTTGACCCTTGCAGAGTGCAGAGTTGCGTCCCTTGGGCACGCCAGAAACCTATGATTGTGGGTTCGAATCCCAGTTCGCCCTGATCATGTTTCTAGGTTTGTCAGCACCATACCCGTGCTCGTGGGTTTCACCATAGTGGTAACGTCTGAGACCTGCATCACTTCGGGCTTTCCTCCAACATTAAGCTGACACGCTTAACTGGAATACTGTTAAAAGCGGCGTTAAACCCAACTCACTCACTCATAACCTAAGTCATCAGTGATCATGACAATGACCTTGACCCGTGCCTACACATAACTTAAGTCATCGACCTGTCAAGAAACAGGTAGAGAACAGGTCTTCAGCAACCCATGCTTACCATAAGAGGTCACTATGCATGTCATAAAAGATGACAGACAGGATCTGGTGGTCAGACTTGCTGACCGTATCCCAATTGCGTGGATCGATACTCAGGATGTCAATCACTGGATTGTCTGGTCCAGACTCCATTATTTACAGACCATCGTCATATAACTTGAATATTGCTGAGTGTGGCGTTAAACAACAAACAAACAAACTTAAGTCATCAATGACCTTGACCCATGCATACACTTTACCTTACCCATCAATGATAACAAGAGTTTGCCACTAACGTGGCTATATCCCCCGCCCCTGTTGCAGAATTTATGACATAATTAAATCTAAACAAACCCTAACCTTTTTTAACCGAGGTGGAACTTGTCATGGAAATTGCAAAAAAAGATGAGTTTAGAACCTCAGTCCATCTTGTTACTATGGAAACGTAAAAAATTAATATTTCTAAAATTTCTAAATAGCAAAAGGCACCAGTTCAGCATGTACCTGACAGACCTGCAAAGTTTGATGAAAAAATATTGAACGGTTTATGAGTTATGCTCTGGAAACGAAACGTGACGGACGACCGTACGGACGGACGGAGCCTGTTTCTATATCCCCCGCCAACTTCGTTGGGTGGGGGATAATAACAACGATGTTGACCACTATCTTGAGTATGCCAAACAGTTTGCCGGAGCTGAAATGTCTGAGATATTGTCCATAAGAACACACGAACACAACAAAGGAAATATTTATTATAGGTTTATTGAAAGCTCTCTACATGCATCAAAAGAAAATGCATATTCAATATTTGGCCAAGGGTACATCGATAGGAATCACACTGGCAACATATCTATAAAAACTAGATAAATACATTTGTAGAAAAACACAGAATCACAGCCAATACAATTAAATAGGAACATTTTTAATGCTTATAACATACAATAGCACAGCCTATATGGACTGGTCGAGGAATACTGATGATTGATACTGTGTTGTTTTGATCGTTACACAAGTGAAGGATTGCATCAAAATACACGACACTTCAACAGATCACAGAAAGAAAGTGAGTGAATAAGTATGGTTTTACGCTGCTTTTAGCAATATCACTGTGGGGGACACCAGAAATGGGCTTTACACATTGTACCCATGTCAGGAATCGAACCCAGGTCTTCAGCGTGATCTGAGAAAGAGCTGGCCTATGTGCAGTGTCTGCCTGGACAACTATGCCCCTGGAAATAAGTTAAGCACCACCCTGCATTATTATATCCTGAACTTCAATGTAGATTGGGCATATCGACTTGTGACACCTTGTCGTAACAGGCGAGGGGCAATGAGGTAGCCTGATGGTTAAAGCGTTCGCTTGTCACACCAAAGACCCGGGTTCAATTCCTGACATGGGTACAATGTGTGAAGCCTATTTCTGGTGTCCCCGCCGTGATATTGCTGGAATATTGCTAAAAGCGGCGTAAAACCATATTCACTCACTCGTAACAGGCGACTAACGGAATTGGTTGGTCAAGCTCGCTGACTTGGTTGATGCATATCATCGTATCCCAATTGCGTAGATCAATGCTCATGATGTCAATCGCTGAATTGTCTGGTCCAGACTCGATTATTTACAGGCCGCTGTCATATAGCTGGAATATTGCTGAGAGCGGCATTAAACAACAAACAAACATGTGATACTGATGTTGCTAAGTGTCTGAGATACCACCAATACCTGGTGAAAAGAGGAACAAGGACACTGTACATGTCACAAGGTGGCCACAAACACTGAGTCTAATAGTGAGTATCGTCTTAACCCGCTTTTAGTTATATTCCACCAATTTCACAAAGGGGGACACCAGAAATAGGCTTCACACATCGTACCCATGGGGAATCGGACTCTGAGTGAGAGATTGAGTTGGGTTTAACGCCGCTTTTAACAGTATTCCAGTTATATCGCGGCGTGTCAGCTTAATGTGGGAGGAAAGCCCAAAGTGATGCATGTCTCAGACGTTTACCACTTCAGTGAAACCCACGAGCACGGGTATAGTGCTGACAAACCGAGAAACATAATCGGGGCGAACTGGGATTCGAACCCACAATCATAGGTTTCTGGCGTGCCCAAGGGATGCAACTCTGCACAGTGAATCTCGGCGCCTTAGACGACTGGGCCACCCGTGCCCCTGATTCGAACACTGGATTTCGGTGTGACTGCACATGTTTTAACCATTGGGCTACCCCACCGCCCCTATGATACGAAGAAGCAGATGAAGCAATCGATAGTGTAGTCAAGAACTATTTTCTTGGAACACTCTCAAATTACGGCATTACATAATCAATTTCAGTTTGTGTATTTCAATACGGTTTTGTCATTTTGTGAACCAAAATTCATACATATCCGAGAACCAAAATTCATACATGATCCGTTCTTAAAAACTTATTTTATAGAAATATCAAGCAGTGCTTAGCTCTTCCAAGGTCTATTCATGCAAGATGTCTATATTTGGGGCATGATTTCAACATAAAACAGAAACAACATCACAACCAGACTACAACGTTCCACAGTAACACGTACAAAAATAGTTTTCAGATGTGATTCTGAGATGTCTCCTAAGAATCATTCTGAAAAGAGTTATCTGCTCTTATGCCACACCTGTGCAATGTTCTTCTTCTAGTCCTCGTTGGTGGCCTTGAAATACAAGTCTAAACAATAATACACCCAATAATAATGAAAACATTTTTGCAAAAAGTACCAAACAGGTCTTCATCAAAGGCGACAGGAATACGGCGACATACAGGAAGTGTCAACTCTTACAGAAAACTTTGTAATAATTTTTAAATGGTTGACAGCTGGCCTCTTTTCATTCTTAAACATGAAAGTTTTTTACTTCTGGTATGTTCTCATTCACATAAACATATCTGATAACTCATAATTATTATAATTTTCATTTCTTCAATTTTGCCGATCCTGTAGGCCAAACAGGGCTCTTATTCTACCTCGATCTTCGTCCATCTGTCAGGATACCATAGTTTGTCACCATATTTTGTTTTATAGTCCTTGAAAAAACACTTTTTATTAACTATTTGTGATCATTATTCTTTGACTTGAATACAAAAAACAACCTTCAGCATCAAACCCTCAGTTGCTTGTTCAAGATCTTACTTTTCAGTAAAGACCAACCAGTAAATTCACAATTTATACAATACATATTTTGTTAAACTGTACAAATAGAACAAAACTAGTAATACTGTTAGTGTAGATTGAATACTATGCATCAAGAGTACTGTACGGTTACAATGTCCTATATAGACACCGACACTGAACTGGTTCAACAAATATCAAGAATATTGTCTACTATTAAAAAAAACATGCAATAACTAACATTATATCTCAACAAAGATTTTGATTTGAATCATGAATTTATGTCACTACGACAAATGATATCTAGTATTGGATAACAAATGATGACATATTGGTCAACCTTAAAAAACTCTTCTCAAATAAATGAATAAAATTATATCTCTATAAATTATTTAAAACCTGAAACAACTTAAAATAGAAAAATTCTGTAAAAAAAATTCAATTTCTCAAATCTTTATTAAACTTCTTTCGAAGTTATTTCAAAAGTATTAATACTTGTTACCCTTTATGTTACTCAAATATACAAACATTTATTTACACCGATGAAACAGTAGCATGTTATAGTAACCCTGTAGTAACAAGAGTATCAATATTTCATGGAGTCAGCATACATTAGAAAATATACAGTATACATTTACATAATTATTTTAGAGCATGTTATTGCTTCCAATAAATGTAATTCACTTTCAGTATAGTACTTTAACAATGCAGTGAGAATGTAGCACACATTAAAATAGCTGACATTACGCAAAAGCAAAAGTAACTGTGATGATATAAATTTATTGACAATGAATAATTAGTATAATTATAACATATACAAGGAAGAGAATTTATGGATGTCCACTTGTTTATTATGAGGAACACAGTTTCGGAGTATATGCTTACTCCTTCATCAGGTGAAGGAACAGTTGATATCAGCTCTTGATGGTTTTCTACCCTTTGTTATTTTCCACCTTTTGTTATCTTATTGATTTTGTTGTCCTTACATGTACATATATATGCACTCTGCCTCTTGGCATTCACTCACCTGATGAAGGAGTAAAAATACTCCAAAACGTTGTGTTCCTCATCATAAAGAAGCTGACATCCATACATTATCTTCCTTATGTGTATCACTTCAAAGACCTAACATATATATGGCTTTACAAATTGATTGTGTGCACACTAAGCCACTAGTCAAGACAAACTTTTATTCAAACAGAAAGTCACCCTCAATTTGTTAACTCTTTCAAACTGTTGTATATGGGGAATATCCACCCCCCCCCCCCCCCCAAAAAATTTTTTTTTTTTTTAAAAACAAAAAAAATTATACACTTAATTTGAATTTGAAATTCTGAATTAGTTTAATGTTGTTTAATCTTTAGGAAGGCTATGGGATGAGTCTGTCAATTGAATTCCAGTACATTTTAGTTCTACGGAGAAAGGTTTTTTTAGTTATCATGTTATCATGATCATGTTACTTTTGCTTTTGATTAACTTCCACCGATCTAGTATTGCTGGTGCTTGATGTGCGTGTTGTCCTAGGACATGAGGTAGGCTCTCAGGAAGTCGTTGTAGCTGATGCAGCCGCCGACGTTCTTGTCATAGTAGGACATCAAATGGAAGAACTCATCCTCCGACAAATTGACGTTAAACTGGCGGAGGACCCGCCTGAAGTCTACAGCATCAACCACTCCCGTTGCTCCCTCATCCAGCTTCCTGAACGTCCGCCTCATCTCCTTCCAGTTGTCTGTTACGCAACTGCGCAGCCGCATCATTGCATCATAGAACCTGTCACTTGCAACACCTGGCTGGATCTGGGAAAATGGTGGAAAGATTCTGTCAGTACCTGAAAGTCACTTCATATATCAAACGATATATTGAAATATCAATCTTATTAAAATCAGATCTTAGTTTTCGCTACCGCTAAACAAAGATCTGAGGACATTCCATTACGGGTCACGTCAGAACGACCTTTCGCGAATTTTGAGCGACCAATGACATGACTGACAAGAAATTGACATTAGCCAATCAGAAGGCAGCTTTCTCGAGCTTCACGACACAAGTTTCAAACTGGCAACTATGCTTCGAAACATATTTTGACGTATTCTCGATTAAAAAGATTAAAACTGATAAGAAGAGCATTCTTGGACGGCTTATATATGACCTAGATTGTATGGATATAATAATGAAACCCGTAACTGTCGTTCGGAATACCCCGTCTTAAATATTTCGTGGTTGCATGATTAGAAAACACATTCCGACTGTCACTTTCATCATCTGGTAAGCGACGCTCTGATTGGTTGGATGAAAGGTCGTTCTGACGTGACCCTTAATGGGATGTCCTCATAGCGAGAACTAAGATCAGATTTTAATGAGATTGTTGAAATATTGAAGTTGGAGTCAACACGGTTTCACTCAAGGTACTTCCTTTAGGAGGAAGTAAGGAGCAGTCTTTCAATTAACCATTTAAAAATTCTGCCATTATTGTGGAAAATATTTTATTCTGATTGGTAAATAAGAGGTTGCACTGCAGTAAGTTTAATAATTAAAACCTCATGGGATGCTTACAAATTCAATTAAGTGTGCTTAACACAGCTCTACATTGAAAAGAAAGTTTCCTAATTCTACCATGACTCTGGAAAAAACTGACTGTCAAATCGGCAGCTTTGTCAATGAGTGAATGTTGTTTTATGCAGCTGACAGCAGTGTTCCAGCTATATCAGCAGGCTATGAATATTCTGGCAAACCCAACAGTTGATGTGAGCAATGATCCAAACATTTGGGTACACATACTCATCCAGGTCTGACATTGTTGGTTGGTTTGTTGTTCAACGCCGCACTCCGCAATATTCCAGCTATATGATGGCGGTCTGTAAATAATCAAGTCTGGACCAGACAATCCAGTGATTGATTTCATGAGCATCGATCCACGCCATTGGGATCGATGACATGCATCAACCAAGTCAGCGAGCCTGACCACCCGATCCCGTTAGTCGCCTTTTATGACAAGCAGAGTCACCTTTTATGGCAAGCATGGGTTGCTGAAGACCTATTCTACCCTGGATCTTCAAGGGTCTCTGACATTGTGACCATCCAAGTTTCTGTCTCATCTCCTACATGTTGGACCTACAGTTCACACACTGGGACCCCCCAATACTCATTATTCCAAATTATGGAACCCCCTCAGGGCTGTTGGACCTACAGTTCACACACTGGGACCCCCAATACTCATTACTCCAAATTATGGAACCCCAGCAGGACTGTTGGACCTACAGTTCACACACTGGGACCCCCAATACTCATTACTCCAAATTATGGAACCCCAGCAGGGCTGGTGGACCTACAGTTCACACACTGGGACCCCCAATACTCATTACTCCAAATTATGGAACCCCAGCAGGACTGTTGGACCTACAGTTCACACACTGGGACCCCCAATACTCATTAGTCCGAATTATGGAACCCCTGCAGGGCTGTTGGACCTACAGTTCACACACTGGGACCCCCAATACTCATTAGTCCGAATTATGGAACCCCCTCAGGGCTGTTGGACCTACAGTTCACACACTGGGACCCCCAATACTCATTAGTCCGAATTATGGAACCCCAGCAGGGCTGGTGGACCTACAGTTCACACACTGGGACCCCCAATACTCATTAGTCCAAATTATGGAACCCCAGCAGGGCTGTTGGACCTACAGTTCACACACTGGGACCCCCAATACTCATTAGTCCGAATTATGGAACCCCTGCAGGGCTGTTGGACCTACAGTTCACACACTGGGACCCCCAATACTCATTAGTCCGAATTATGGAACCCCTGCAGGGCTGTTGGACCTACAGTTCACACACTGGGACCCCCAATACTCATTAGCCTGAATTATGGAACCCCTCAGGGCTGTTGGACCTACAGTTCACACACTGGGACCCCCAATACTCATTAGTCCAAATTATGGAACCCCAGCAGGGCTGTTGGACCTACAGTTCACACACTGGGACCCCCTTATACTCATAAGTCCAAATTATGGAACCCCAGCAGGGCTGGTGGACCTACAGTTCACACACTGGGACCCCACAATACTCATTATTCCAAATTATGGAACCCCTGCAGGGCTGACACCTGAAATGGAAGTTTAACCCAGGGAATGCTTTAACCACTGGACTGCCCCACTGATTTAAGCAAAACAACATTGCTCCTAATCAGGTCCATGCGAGCTACATACTGTCATCTTTGGTTGATGAATCTTCTGCCGTGACAGAAGACTGGAGTTTTCCCTCTGCTTGAGATTCAAAAGGAAGTGCCGGAGAAACTCTGCGTAAGAGAATGTGCCGTTTTCTTGAAGGTCAAACTTGGTGACGATCCTGCGGAAGTCCTCCGGTGGCATTTGTATACTGAAAGCACTCATGATGTCTGGAAATACAAGGTAGTGTTGTACATACAGGTGCTCATCAGGTTGTGTTATGTGATCTGGTATATGTGAGAGTGAGTTACGTTTAACATGTTTAACACCTAGATTTTGAGAAGCTATGGAAACTCCCAAATGGACCAGTTAACCACTAGACGTATCTATGTGCCAAGTTTGGTGAAAAAATATTGTACAGTTTTCATGATCTGCTCCGGAAAGGAGCACTACCGCCATTTTCAGTCTAAGTCAAAGTCGTTGCCATGGAAACTCGAAAAAATTTGTTTTTAAAAATCCAAATCTATCAAAAGTTCACCACTAGACCTTTCTATGTGCCAAGTTTGGTTAAACTATTCCTCATAGCTTTTGAGTTCTGCTCCGGAAACGAAACATGATGGATGTGAGGACAGACGGACAGCACCCATTCCTATATCCCCCATCCACTTTGTGGTTAGGGATAATAAAACCACCCTGTGGAGATTCTGGGTCGGATCAGGACCTCAACAACGAATGCTGGCCATAAGAGGTGACTAAATAGATTGGTCGTCAGACTAGGTGAATTGGTTCATTGTGCGTTATTGCACGCACAACGTGTGGATGGTTACTCACTATATCGATAACTGAATTATCAATTATTGAGTGCGGAGTTAAATAACAAACAAACTTAACAAGAGTTTGCCACTAACGTGGCTATATCCCCCAACCCTGTTGCAGAATTTATGACATAAATAAATGTAAACAAACCCTAACCTTTTTTAACCGAGTCGGAACTTGTCATGAAAATTGTACAAAAAGAAGAGCTTGGAACCTAAGTCCATCTTGTTGCCATGGAAACTTAAAAATTAAAAATTTCTCAAATTTCTAAATAGCAAAAGGCACCAGTTCAGCATGTACCTGACAACCCTGCAAAGTTTCATGAAAAAATATTGAACTGTTTCTGGGTTATGCTCCGGAAACGAAACGTGACGGACGGACGGACGAAGCCCGTTTCTATATCCCCCGCCAACAATAATAACACCCAATACACATTCCGTGTTTGTTACAGCCCATCCCCTCCTCACCTCTGAAGTCATAGATGTTGATGGTGCCAGTATTGGTTGGATCATAATGGCGACACTGGCGCTGGATCTCCTTCCAGTTGCGGTAGATGACCTCCTTGAGGCGCCTCTCCGCCATGTCAGCGTTGACAAGAGGTGTGGACATACGCGACATGGCACGCGACTGCATGGTGGCGGGACGTTGCTGTTCTAGCTGTTGCGAAATATATACATCCATTAGATGAGTACTAATGCAGTTTCCGTTGACGAAGTTCTTGATTATGAACATACATTTAATAAAATAATTTAATTTGACAACCACAAAGTATATTTGCACATCATCAAAATAATATGACTGAAGACGTCAAAGAAATCACACCTTATTTCACTGCATGGATAAAACATTATGACAGAACTACTTTTTTTCTAATTCTAATCTAATTTTATCTAATTCTGCAGTTTGATGGTTGATGTTTAACACTTCAGCAATATTAGCTATATGACACTGGTCTGTAACTAATCAAGACCAGACCAGCAATCCAGTGATTGATATCATGAACATCCCTCAACACATGTGGGACATGAAAAGCAATTGAAGAAGTCACAGAGCAGCAATATCTCATCCATTTCGAACAAGCACAAGGCACTCACTTTAACCATGCCATTACAAATGTAACCATGATACTGACACACTCGCACAAGGATCTCGGCACCATGGAACGGTACGAATAAACTATGTCACTCCCAGTGTTTATCAGGTTTGCCATTGTGTCAGAACTTAGTCATCAAGTTTATTCCTCTAAACGGGGCACACGGGTGGCCCAGTCATCTCTTGTGCCGTGATTCACTGTGCAGAGTTGCGTCCCTTGGGCATGCCAGAAATCTATGATTGTGGGTTCGAATCCTGGTTCGCCCTGATTATATTTCTAGGTTTGTCAGCACCACACCCGTGCTCGTGGGTTTCACCGAAGTGGTAAACGTCTGAGACCTGCATCACTTCAGGCTTTCCTCCCACATTAACCTGACACGCCGTGATGTAACTGGAATACTGTTAAAAGCGGCATTAAACCCAACTCACTCACTCACTCACTACTCCTCTAAACACCCACCCTGGATGGTGCCCTTGCTGATGCCGTCGTTTGTGGTCGGTTTCCAAATATGGCTTGTGATGGGTTTGCTTCTGGAGGCGGTACCATCTGATTGGCAGGCTGAGACATGGGTGGAGCATCACCACTGCCTGAGAACTGCTGCATGAATTCCTTGTAATCAATATTGCCGAACTCATTGACAGGCAGAGAAATCCATAGCTTCTCAAACTACAAGTATAACAAATTGGAAAGTAAATTGATGACATCAAACATTTTTAATACAATGGTCATAAATGTCAGATATTTGTAGATACAAAATAAGAATTGATTTTGTGAGTAGTGTATAAAATTTTATTTTATAATAAAAGGAACTTAATGTTGTCTATCCATTATAATAATTTAAGAGATCCATACCTTAAGAAATGTGAATTATAAAATGAAGATAAGTTCCATCGGTAGTTAAGTTTGATGAAACAATATATGAAGTGGACACACGTTAGGAATTGCAATATATCTATCAACATGGAGATTTCAAGTTATGACAACCAATAAGATCGTCATGATCCTAATCTATTATTGTGAGTATATGTCTTCTTTAATTCAGATATAATTGCAATCTGCCAGTAACATACTGGTTGTTTTATGCCCCTATCATCTAATAACCAATAATGTTATCAAGATGAATATTAATAATCTTAAGTATATTCAAGTCCACTTCAATTGATGTTCTCTCAATACGAGCCCAATGTCAACTTTGGTGCCAAATGTACAAGTCCACTAGTCTACAATTGCTAAAAAACTTCTAATCTTAGAAAAATTCCCCCTGCTTCATCTAAAGCAATGTTGTTCTGACTGAGTGTATTTCTACCACCCCCTCAACCAACCTGTTCATCCGTGAGCCTGAAGACATGCTTCTGTAGTTACCATGGTTACACTGAGTGTATTTCTTACTCCCCTCAACCCACCTGTTCATCCGTGAGCCTGAAGTCATGCTTCTGTAGTTACCATGGTTACACTGAGTGTATTTCTTACTCCCCTCAACCCACCTGTTCATCCGTGAGCCTGAAGACATGCTTCTGTAACACTTCCCGGAAGTCAGCTTTAGGCACAACCCCGATCCTAGCATAGTCGATGTCTGCAAAGTCTCGATCAAGGTTGTAGTAGTGAGCTGTGACAGCCTCCTGGAGCCTTTCTTGCACCTCGTCCACGGCCATCAGCTGGGTGCCCTGTCGGCCCTTCATGGTCTGCTGCAGAATGTCCAACCAACGATCCTGATCCTGATCAACCAAAAAGGTCAATGTACAAAAGTCAGGGTATGAAGGTCATAAAACAAAGGTCAAGACACTAAGGTCAAGGCACAAAGGTCAAAGTACAAAAGTCAAGGTTTGAAGGTCAAGGAACAAAGGTCATGACAAAAAGGTCTAGGAACAAAGGTCGAGACACAAAGGTCAAAGCACAAAAGTCGTATATTAAAGATTCTGCCCATACTACTATTGACATATTTAACTCATTTTGCAATGAAACAACTTCAAACAACAAATGGCGAGACAAATTCTTGGGACATACAAACTTAATTCATGTTTGAAATAATTCTTGGTTGTGGACAAGTGTTTCAGCTGTACCTCTTGCTCTGTTGTGCCGTACTGGCTGAGGAATGATGTGTAGTCCACCATGTCGTCCACCACCCTCAGCCTCGACTTGAGGTGTTTCCACTGAGGCTCAGACAGCTTGAAGCAGAACAGGTCCACAACACGGCGGAAGTCTGGCACCGAGATCTTACCCTTCTCCTGCTTGTCAAATGCTGCAAATGCCTGTGGGGAAATTGGTAGGTCATAGACGGTTTAAAAAAGAAGAAGATACCACTTCAGTCAAATGTGTGATCCTTAGCAAATGTTGAGTAGTATAGATAAAAGTATGAACTTGGAGTAGATTTAATCATCTCAAAAAACCCTCATCAGGCCATACATAATCGATGATGCATTGCCATACTTGCTTCCACATTAATACTCGTGTTTAAGGTGACCTGCTTTTTAGCGGGTACCTTTCTGAAGTTACGTGCTTCTTAGTAGGAACCTGGTCTTTCACAACTTTTCAGCCATGGAATCGTAAAATAGCTGATGTTGGGCATACAATTGCCACATAGTGGTAGTCTTCATGTCAGCAGTAGTTGTCATTCAGGCCAGCAGCATTAGCTGCCACGATGGTTTCACTAATTTGGCCAGGAAGCTGTAGTTGCCTTTGGGCGGCAATAGTAGTTGCCACCTATGATATCTGGGCTGGGCAGCTGTAGTTGCCTTGGGTCAGCAGCAGTAGCTGCTAGTTGCTCTTGGCAGCACGGTAGTTGCCAAGCAATGGTAGCGTTTCTTGTGATCAAGTATACTTCCAGGGCAGAGCAGGGGTTACTAAGTTGCCTTAGGCCAGCAGTGGTAGCTGGTAAACGGTAGCTTTTCATGTAATGAAGTAACAGCTGAGTTACACACTAGCCCACTCGGCCATTTGATCCACGCTCATGTCATGTTGTTCTTATAGGCATGAGCATCCACAGTTGGGCATGTTGTGCGATAATAGAATTTTGGTATTTCCCTGTACCTACCCTTCCAATAGCGTCTCCATGTGTCCTCATCTTATTGTGTAGCTTGGTCTCTGCATCGTGTGGACTCAAACCTTGATGTTCCTCAAAAGTGACATCTTGCTGCCTCTTGCCATAAGAGGACTTGCGGCCATCTTGGAATGCCTTGAGGAACATGCCGTAGTCCAATCGGCTCCTGTCGTTGTGTAGTCCAAGCCTGACAGAATTGGAGGTCAAGGTTATCAATAAGGAATCTTTAGGCTGCAGACAGACTGGACATTTGTCTAAATGATTTTGCAAAGTTTGTCTGTTTGTTGTTTAAAGTCTCACATGACAGTGAGAATGGACTTGACTAATGTATACATGTTATAAAGTCATCAATAACAGGGAGAATGGCCTTGACTAATGTATACATGTTATAAAGTCATCAATAACAGGGAGAATGGCCTTGACTAATGTATACATGTTATAAAGTCATCAATAACAGGGAGAATGGCCTTGACTAATGTATACATGTTATAAAGTCATCAATAACAGGGAGAATGGCCTTGACTAATGTATACATGTTATAAAGTCATCAATAACAGGGAGAATGGCCTTGACTAATGTATACATGTTATAAAGTCATCAATAACAGGGAGAATGGCCTTGACTAATGTATACATGTTATAAAGTCATCAATAACAGGGAGAATGGCCTTCACTAATGTATACATGTTATAAAGTCATCAATGACAGTGAAAATGGCCTTCACTAATACATGCACTTTAAAAGTCATCGATAACAATGAGAATGGCCTCCACTAATGTATACAGTTTATAAAGTCATCAATAACAGTGAGAATGACCTTGACCAAGTCATACACTTTAAAAAGTCATCAATAAAAAACCTGGAATCCCCTGGGCTGAATTATTGAGACAACATGTCCGCATTGAATTTAATTATGATGTGGTCCTACCTCTCCAGCAGCCTGTCAAACTCGTCATCACTGATGAAGAAGTTGAGGTCGACCAGCACCTTCTGTATCTCTGTCGGTGACAGCCAACCCCTCTTCCTGGTGTCGTACTTGCGGAATGCCGAGTGGAAGTCGGAGTAGTGGTCCCTGATCCGGTCCCTGCACAGAACACATTCCCACAGGCTAATAGTTTGTCTACAGTTTATCCAGTATGGTCTCTACACTGACTTCAGCCTTAACCTGACAACACCCAGAGATGCCTATTCCACATTGAGGCAGTTAGGAATAACTTGGATATTAGGGGTCTAAACAGCAACTTTGGATAAATATCTGTAATCTGTTGTGATGACTGTATTATTTCGCTGAAAATATATCATCACATGTAATTTATCACCTAAACTACTTAAAATCTGTCAATCTTTCTTTTGGTCAAAATTTGTAAAATATTTCACTTGATCCTGTTGACAAAATTTGGTTCAAAACATCATAAGGATTCTGCCCAAATCCTAATGTTGGCAATTTCTCTGCATATCCTGGTAGTGGACATCTAGAAATGGTTCCACACACAGAACCCACGTGGGTAGTCGACATTGTTCACTGATCAGCATTCACTGTGTTTTGACTGTGCTAATTCAAAATTCAAGTAGGATATTCATGGTTGTAGCATTGCATTTGTTTTGTGGACCAAAGTGGGGTAGTATCATATCACAAAAGTCATATTGGGATATTCACCGTCTTCTTAAAAAAAGAAAAATTAAGCTTCATGTGGCAAAGCTTAAAGGAAAGATTTCATGGAGGCAAAATAATTATTGTACACTTTTGTTCTGAAAAACATTGTCTCAAAACAGTATGTCTATCAAATATTGTAGATTCTTATAAACATGATAAATAAATATCAATTTTATACATTTTAACATTGACCCCTATGTCAAAACCAGCTATTCATATAAGGACGTGTAAGTGAGTATTTCTGATATATCATGGGATGTCTCCATAGTGTGGGAGGAAAGAGATACATTTTGGTCTGACTCAGGGATGACCTGTGCACAGCCTAGTGGCTCTGTTGGTACTGACCTCAGCTGCCTCTCGACCCACTCTGCCGTCATGCCGCTGCCGAGACTGGCCTGTTTCTGGGTGATGTCCTCATGCTTCATCTGCTGGGCTCTGTTGTGCTCCTCCAGATGACGTCTGCTCTCATCGATGATTGTCATGCTCAACCCCTCGTCCATTGGCCCGAACTTCTCCGCCCCCAACTTCCTGAGGAAGTCCTGGTGAGATATGTACCCTTTCCCTTCCTCGTCATACCTACACAAAGAATTACCATAGTCTTGGTCGAAATCCAAAGCTAATCTCACATGTTAAAATCGGTCAAATTTCACCATTGGTATTTGGGAGATCCAATTATTGATACACATATTTGCGTTGTATCAATCCTTTCTATGAAGACAGTGTTGATGGACTTCAACTTCTTATTTGTTCAATGCAAATTTTCAGTACAGATGCTAGGATCTTTATCAAGAAAGTGATACAAAAACGTTGCATTGAAAGCAATCTCATTAAAATCAGATCTTAGTTCTCGCTACCGCTAAACAAAGATCTGAGGACATCCCATTACAGGTCACGTCAGACCGACCTTGCGCGAACTTTGACCGATCAATGAAATGACTGACAAGAAGTCGGCACTAGCCAATCAGAAGACAGCTTTCTGGTGCTTTGCGGCACTAATTTCAAATTGACGACTATGCTTCGGAACATATTTTGACAAATTCTCGATAAAAAGTTTGAAACCTTAACAAAAAAACATTTTGGAATGGCTAATAGATGGTCTAGATTGTATGGATTCAGTCGTCAAGCCCCTAACTATCATTCGGAATACCCCGTGTTAAAGTTTTCAAGGTTGCAAGATTAGAAATCACATTTTGACTGTCACTTTCATGATCTGGTAAGCGACGCTCTGATCAGTCGGATGAAAGGTCGTTCTGACGTGACCACTAATGGGATGTCCTCAGATCCTTGTTTAGCAGTAACGAAAACTAAGATCTGATTTTAATGAGATTGCATTGAAAGAGAGTGATTTGGTTTTAAAGTCACTTTCAACAGTTATATTGCGGCATGTCAGCTTAATGTGGGAGGAAAGCCCGAAGTGATGCAGATCTCAGACGGTTACCACTTTGGTGAAACCCATGAGCACATGTACTGCATTGGAAGAATAGAGAAGTTAAAATCCACAAGGTACCTCTGTCTTCATTGATACTACAGCCTCAGGACACTCTTAGGGGGCTCTAATTACAATATTATTTTGGCGAAAAAAAACCCAGAGCTGAAATATATGTTTATATACAAGGGGTATATTTTTCCAGAATTTAATTGCCCATAATTAAGGGTGCATATAACACACGTATTATACTCGAATAAATAAGTCTTGTGTACATTGATCAATCAGAAGGGGTGCTAATTGGGATTGTTCACTAGCCAATATATTAGCAAATATCGCTGGGGGCACTTATTGAATATGGTATATTGTAAAATGAATGTGAAAATGTTCCGCAATCTGAAAAATAATGTGCAGGCCCTTTTCTATTTCATTTATTTCTATGGAATTCATAACAAACATGGAATTCATAACATTTTGAGTTTGATCAATAAGAAAAGTTTCATTTTTGTTAATGTGTCTCTGCAACTGCTCATCCGTAACTATGGTTACATATGACATAATAGCAGTCTAAAGTGACATCATATCTGTCTCACAACTACTTACAGTACATGTGGAAGAGAGTTCTACCCAATATTACCAATAACTTTTTCGATAAAGCAGGCCATACAATGTTGACGTTTAAATCCTCCGGCTATATCGCCAGTTCCAAATGACATGTCCAGGGATAAAATTCTCAACATCCAAGAATCTTAAAACACAAACTGACAATGGTCAAATTTAAGGGGGTTTCTTGAGGTCTTCTATTTGTTGTCATCTAAGGACGCCTAAATCCATAACTTAGGGTTATGACAAAGTCCCCTTGAATTTTATGCCTAATTTCGACCACTATAATAGTTATCTCCATATTCACCACCAGGCCTGTGGGGATCCAGGTTAGAATACACCGTATTCGACGTAATAAGCTCCCAGGGCACTCTCAATTAGAATTATTAGAATATTATTTTGGTGAAAAATAAACAAACAAACAAACAAACAAATAAATACATAAGTCTTGTGTACATTGATCAATCGGATGGGGTGCTAATTGGGATTGTTCACTAGTCAATATATTAGCAAATGTCGCTGTGGGCACTTATTAGAGCGGCGCACGTATTACTTTGAATACGGTAGGTCCCCAGCAACCTATGCTTGTTGCAAAAGGTGACTCAATGTGACTAAATGGATCTGGTGGTAAGGTTCAGTGACTTGGTTGATTGCATGCCATTGTATTTCAATTGCGTATATTGATGCTCAATATGTCAGTCACTGGATTTTCTGGTCCAGGATCAGTCATTTACAGAGCATTAAACATCTAACAAAACAAACTAAGTCTGGTTGAGTGACACCCCTTCCCAACCCACCTTGCCCAGAGTTTCTTGAACTCCTCTCTAGTCATGGGCAGGACAAACTTGTAGAGGACTTCCCGGAGATGCTGGCGCCGGATCAACCCCTTCCCTGTTTTCTTGTCCATCTTGAGGAACGCCTGAGGAGGAGAAACACAGATATACATGCTGCCAAGACTGTGCCAGACAGGGTAACTACAATGGCGCCCAGGGATCGAAAAACGACACCAACCTTCCACTCTCCGGGCAGACGCTCTATCCAACAGACCACAAAGCCGGTCCTACAACTTTGGACAATACTTAATTCAAACTGGTCAATAACATGTAACATACCTCAAATTCAAGAAACCAAAGACAGGAAGTACTCTGAGTGGAGTGAGTTGGGTTTAACGCCGCTTTTAACATTATTCCAGTTATATCGTGGCGCCTTAGACGACTGGGCCACCCGTGCCCCCCGGAAGTACTCTGAAGAAACATTGTCCACTTTTGATGGTAGGGTGAGTGAGTTCAGTTTTAGACAACTTTTAGCAATATAGCAGCCATATCATGGTGTGAGACATCAACATTGGGCTTCACATTTTGTACTCTTTGGGGGAACTAAACCCATGCCTTCTGTGAGACGAGCCAACGCTTAAGCCACAAAGCTATACCCACCTCCCCTTCTTGAAGGCTGACATATTTTATTTTTTAAGATGGTCTGTAATTTTAACTATTAACATATTTTTCCCCAAAACCCATGGTGGTTGAAATGGACACAAAAATATAATCTTAAAAACATGTATTTTACAAGTGATCTTAAAAAGTTTTGCAGTTCAGTGATATAAAGAAGAAAGAAAACATTATTTAATGTCAAAATTTAATGGTTACCTTTCTCTTCCCCAAGATCTACTTAGCAGCAAGAAAATTATACTTTTTAGAAAGTATAACTTGGGAATCTCTTGGTCAGTTTTAAAGAACACCCACCTACATAAGTAGAAGTATGGTATTTATTTCGGGACATATTACTAACTCATGGTTGAAAATCACTGGAACAAGTTACTGCAACGAGGTTGAAGAAGCCACTTTCCAAACACATACGCTTCTATTTGTTCCATCATTGACATGGTTCCTGTCTGTAGAACATGATGCTTTTGTAGCAGCCAGAGTCCTGTGATGGGATTTGAACCACAGACCTTCTGCTCCGAGGTCAGACGCCTTGTCCAGATCACCAAGAAGGTTAACCCTGTCAGCAAGCTAACAAGGTAAGGATGTCATCTGTGGGATGACTCCACGCCCTTGTACATACTCCTCTTTCAACAGAAGGAACATAGGAGACTTCTTTTGATCAAATATGATATGGATGTGCTCAGCCCCACGTTGGGCGCCAATGTAGCGGCCATAAGATTTTTGAGTCCCATGAAGGGATTTGAACCATTCTGATCAAATGTTGGACGCCTTGTCCACATGACCATAGGGTTAACCTCATCAGCATGCTGACAAGTTGTTAAAGTCAGTGCAATTCACTGTGCAGAGTTGCATCCCTTGGGCATGCCAGAAACCTATGATCGTGGGTTTGAATCCTTGGTTTGCCCCAATTATGTTTCCAGGTTTGTCAGCACCACATCCATGCTTGTGGGTTTCACCGAAGTGGTAAACGTCTGAGACCTGCATCACTTCGGGCTTTCCTCCCACATGAAGCTGACACGCCGTGATATAACTGAAATACTGTTTAAGGCGGTGTCAAACCCAACTCACTCACTCACTCACTCACTCACTACTAAGATTCTACACTGGACATATTTGTATGTCGTGCTGATTACACAACAGAGGTTCAAGAAAAACAGCTTACATCAGCAAGATCACTCCATTGCCGGTGGACTTTAACCTTCAGCATCTCATGGGCCTCCTCCGCTGTGAAGGGCTTGGCTGGCTGGACATTATTGTACCTGTAACAAGGGACCACTCCACTTTAAGCTCACACAAAGTCTTTCAGTAAAACTGTATGCAGCGTTTGTCATACAACTATATGTGTTTGATAGCATTGATACTACGCAGTACAAAAAGCGAGTGCTTACACCTTCGTTGGGTACGGTTAAGGGACCGACTAATTGATATTCGCGGAGAGAGGAGGACCCTGGGATATTGTATCGAGATTAGATATTCATTTAACACTATCAGCCTAATTTGTATTGTAAGAAAATCACCTTGCAACAATGTAAGTAAATTTCTTTATTTTTCAACAGTCTGAAGCATCATTATTTTTTTCAAGAATTTTTTGGGGACATTTTCTTTTTGTTAATAAAATCACAGGCCCCCTTCATAGGATATCAAATTTCAGTCCCCAAGTGTGAGTATGGTTTTACGCCACTTTCAGCAATATTCCAGCAATATCATGGCGGGGGACATCAGAAATGAGCTTCACACATTGTACCCATGTCGGGAATCGAACCTGGGTCTTCTGCGCGACGAACGAATGCTTTAATCACTAGGCTACTCGGCCGCCCCACCCTAAGTGTGAGGAGTTTGTGAATGAAGCACTTACATGTGTACAGAGTTAAGCCACTGGTGTCCGTCTTCTGTGTCCCGGACCTCAAACCGGTCCAGAAATTCCTGGTAGGTGATGCGGCTGTCCTTTGAGATGCCCATCCTGTTACACAGCTTCTCAAACTCCTCGTCCGTCATGACCAACATGAATGCGTCCAGCATGCGACGGAAGTTGTTCTTCCTCAGACTGCCAGTGTGATTATCATCAAACTTGTAGAAGGCTCCCCTCAAGTCCTGCACATGGTAGACATTATTACATAGTTTAACATAGTTTAACATTGACTATTTGGACATAATAAAGTTATTACATTTTCGGCCTCACACCCTGCCTCACAAAATTTTATTGTCCCTTCAGACAAAGAAAATCACTAAGTGTTCCCTTCTTTCATTACTTAATTACTCAACCCATGCTTGTCATAAGAGGCGACTATGCTTGTCATAAGAGGCGACTATGTTTGTCATAAGAGGCGACTATGTTTGTCATAAGAGGCGACTGTTTGTCATAAGAGGTGACTGTTTGTCATAAGAGGTAACTATGCTTGTCATAAGAGGCGACTGTTTGTCATAAGAGGCGACTATGTTTGTCATAAGAGGCGACTGTTTGTCATAAGAGGTAACTATGCTTGTCATAAGAGGCGACTGTTTGTCATAAGAGGTGACTGTTTGCCATAAGAGGCGACTATGCTTGTCATAAGAGGCGACTATGTTTGTCATAAGAGGCGACTATGTTTGTCATAAGAGGTGACTATGCTTATCATAAGAGGTGACTTTGCTTGTCATAAGAGGTGACTATGCTTATCATAAGAGGCGACGATGCTTGTCATAAGAGGTGACTATGCTTATCATAAGTGGTAACTATGCTTGTCATAAGAGGCAACTATGTTTGTCATAAGAGGTGACTATGCTTATCATAAGAGGTGACTATGCTTGTCATAAGAGGCGACTATGCTTGTCATAAGAGGTGACTATGCTTATCATAAGAGGTGACTATGCTTGTCATAAGAGGCGACCATGCTTGTCATAAGAGGCGATGATGCTTGTCATAAGAGGCGACTGTGCTTGTCATAAGAGGCAACTATGTTTGTCATAAGAGGTGACTATGCTTATCATAAGAGGTGACTATGCTTGTCATAAGAGGCGACCATGCTTGTCATAAGAGGTGACCATGCTTGTCATAAGAGGTGACTATGCTTGTCATAAGAGGTGACTATGCTTATCATAAGAGGTGACTATGCTTGTCATAAGAGGCGACCATGCTTGTCATAAGAGGCGATGATGCTTGTCATAAGAGGCGACTGTGCTTGTCATAAGATGTGACTATGTTTGTCATAAGAGGTGACTATGTTTGTCATAAGAGGCGACTGTGCTTGTCATAAGATGTGACTATGTTTGTCATAAGAGGTGACTATGTCATAAGAGGCGACTATGCTTGTCATAAGAGGTGACTATGCTTGTCATAAGAGATGACTATGCTTGTCATAAGAGGTGACTATGCTTGTCATAAGAGGCGACCATGCTTGTCATAAAGAGGTGACTATGCTTGTCATAAGAGGCAACTATGCTTGTCATAAGAGGCGATATGCTTGTTGTAAGAGGTTACTAACAGGATCAGGCATTCAGACTCGCAGACTTGGTTGATGCATGTCATTGTATCCAAAATTCTTAGATTTTTACTGATGTCAACTGCTGACTTGTTATTGTATTCGTGAATAAATATTTGTATTCATTGCCCTATATTCATGATACGTATTGATTCGCCTCATAGTGTATTTGTTGCAGCCCTACAGTGATCAGCCTTTACACAACACACAAATACTTACAGCAAAGTTTTCTCTAAGCTTCGCCCTGAGTTTGGACTCAACTTCGAGTGCACTCATGCCGTATTCGTCCCCTCTGATGGGGTTGACGTGGTGATTGTCTGTCCGCATCATGTCCTGCCCAGCACCGCCTGGGCGGGGGTCATCGAAACTGGCCAGGAAGTCGGAGTAGTTCATGAAGCCGCCGTGGAAGTCCAGCTTGGACACAAGGACATTGAACTGCTCATCGGTCATCACTATTCCAAAGGTTATTAACACCTGAAAGAATTGTCATCCGTGCATGATTAGAATTATTCATTGCATTAAGACTACTTAAGCACCACTTGAATACACTTATGGCGTAAATTCTTTCACACTTTGCAATGCTGTTGTGACTTAACTTGAAGCATGACTTTATTCACCATGTGGTTTTAGCTGCTAAGACGTGAACCTATATCTCGAGTAAACAAGGAATTTGTCTTTGGAAACGTTTCTAAAAATAATCGATGATATAATGACAGTTGAAAAATGTATTACAATTAAAAATGATAGTATTGCAAAGTTTGAAAGAAAATAACCAGCACAGTTAAAACCAATGCAGGGACACAAAGCCACTCGTGGCTTGTTTTTATATCCTGTGTCTACATTCCTTATATATGCCTATTGCAATAAATAAAAAATGATATAAAAAAATCATGTTAATTTTTCTTGTTTTAACAGCGATGAATATTGCAATAGCAGAATTATTAAAAATAGAAAAAATGATATAGGTATTATGCTTATTGCAGTCTTTATTTATTTGTTGGAATTTTTAGCAAAATACTTGAAACTAACATTTATAATGAACATACATTTTCAAAATAATATCAACATTATTTAGTACCAATGATGTTTCTCTTCATTATTTACCTCCAAACACTTGGACAACTTGAGTTTCTTGTTTTCAGGACTATTTTAATCCATGGATATTGATTTGAGTTTTGGGAAAATATATTGTTTTCATTCAATTATCAACACAAAGGAAGCTGATCTAGCCGACATTGAACTAGGGCCAACAGTCAAATGAATGCAGTGTTTACAAGAGTCTCTCTGCTGAGAGTGATGTAAGAATATTGTGTACCTGTCTGAAAACCTTCTTCGATATTTTTCCCCTGCCTCTCTTGTCAAAGTTGCGGAATGCTTTCCTGACGCCAGCATGGTGCTGACTGAGTCTGTCCTTGAGCCTTGCTATCACTTCCTCTGCTGACATTGTTCCCGTTCTGTTGAAGGCGTGAACATCAGCCATGTGTTGTCTGCAACAAATGCATCATTCATCATGCATCATTCATCATTCATCAAACACCAGCAACAAAACAAGATCTTAAACATGGTAGTCAGGCCCTATGACTGTGTGAAACACTGTCAGCAACTGTTTACAGAATGTACACCACCCATGTACATACCATACCAGAAACTTGATGCTGAGCGGCCTTTGTTCCAGCTTCACCTCCTCAATACGCTTCTAAGAGCCAAAGGCAGAAACATCTTGAAACCTCAAGAACCTTAAGGTGTAGTTTATAAAATTGGCAGTAACTGGGGACAATCCTATGTTGGTGAAACACCCTGCCCCATCAACACCAGAATCAAGGAGCACAAAACTTCAACCATAAAATCAGACAGTAAATCAGCCATCTCGGACCATGTCAGCAACTGACCCAGTCACAACATCAACTGGGAAAACATCCAAATCCTCTCCAACAACCTCCATGACTAAATAAAAACTAGCAGAAGCAGTCCAGATCCAGTGCCACAAGCCTTCTACCAACAGAGATCAAATGATAATGCCCTTTATAAATGATAATGCCCTGAAAAATAGCGTTACCGTTATTTAACTAAAATGGATGGAATTTGTTATCAAATAAAAATAAACAACTATATGAGTTTTGAAACATTTACTGCAATCAACACGAATTTCACTGACCCACTTTTACAAATATTGAAACGTCATAGAACAAACCAGATGACGTTATTATTGAACGTGACGTCATCTTTCCCTATCCCTATGACGCCACATAACAACGGGCGTGATACTGGCCCATCGTCAAGCAATATGAGGGCATTATCAAGTTACAGTGGCCTGCTCATCTCTGATAACATGCGGGCTGTTTAATGATAATTCTATCCGTTTTAGCTATAAGAAAAGCCTATCAATCAATTCAGCCATGTCCTACACAGCCACATCTCTGCTTCAGTTGCTGAAGACACCTCACCTTGCTCTCTGGCCCTCCTGGCGCTGTAGCTCTGTGAATTCACTACTGTCGTTGATCTGTGTGCTGAGGCCGTTGATGTCGCCGGGGATGATGTCGATGTCCAATCCCTGCAGGAACTCCACATAGCTGACCATTCCATCTGACCGACCCGTGCAGCGACGCAGCAGACTGCACAGCAGAGTGGTCAATATCAAATTCCAACTCAGGACATTTTTTTTTCTAGTTCATTTTAGGGCATTAATGGGGTTTCTTTAAAAAAAAGTATGAATCTTAGCTTGACTACTGTACATAACAATGTATATAAAAGGTCAATAATTCACTGACATCTTCCCGAGGCAAGAGAGTTAGCCAACTATTAAAAGTCCAGTATACACTCTTGCCAAACTAGGCTGGAATTATGGAGTTATGTTTTGGCTGGACAATGCATAGTCCAATCAAAACCGCATAACAAAATCAACATCTGCTTCGTTAACTGACATGCATACTTGCCATCTCGTCGTCAACAGATATTTTCCAAATCTTTGCATGTTTATAATCAAGGTGCTCACGTGATTTGATGCACTTCGTTAAGTACGACCCGTTTTAACACAATATAGATTTTGATTATTGATCAGATCGTCTTGGCTGGGTGCCGCCATTTTGTTTGAAGCAAATGCAAGTGATATTAGAAGTGGAATCTGATGGGTCAATAGGAGGGACATAGACGGGACATAACTCGTAATAGCCCCTGGTGGCGCTATGTTCGAGCCTGGAAATTCCAGCCTGGTTCAGCAGATTAACTCCCTTGCCCCGAAGATGATTCATTGAGGACTGCTTTAGTTTCTGACATTTCAAAGAAACAATTATTTCCTTTTACATTTTTTCATCTCACTCTCAGGTTTAAAATTTGCCTGTGTTCTCCACATTTTCACAAATGTTTTGTTTGTTTGTTTAACATCGCACTCAGCAATATTCCAGCTATATGACAGAGGTCTGTAGTGAGGGAGTGTGTATGGTTTTACACCGCTTTTAGCAATATCCCAGCAATATCACGGTGGGGGACACCAGAGATGGGCTTCACACATTGTACCCATGTCGGGAATCAAACCCGGGTCTTCCGCGTGACGAGCAAACTCTTTTACCACTAGGCTACCAGACCTTCCCCGGTCTGTAAATGATCAAGTCTGGACCAGACGATCCAGTGATTGACATCATGAGCATCAATCTATGCAATTGGGATATGATGACATGCATCATCCAAGTCTGCGAATCTGCCCACCCAATCGGGATGTGACAGCATACAATCAACCAAGTCACTGAGCCTTACCACCCCATCCATTTGGTTGCCTCTTATGACAAGCATGGTTTGCTGAAGCCACAATTCTAACCCCGAATCTTCACAGGGCTTTTGCAAATGTATATGTGATTATGTCACATAGACCAATGGACCAATGCTTGTGTTATATTTTTCTTAAACTTACACAGGAATACAACTACCGTATTCGACGTAATAAGCGTCCCGCTCTAATAATATATTGGCAAGTGAACAATCCCAATTAGCATCCCTTCTGATTGATCAATGTACACAAGATTTATTCATTTGTGTATAATACGCACTCATGTGTCATATGCACCCTTAATTATAGGCAATTAAATTCTGGAAAAATATATCTGTCGTATATAAACAGTTCAGACCGTCAGCATAAACCACGAAATTTATCTTTCAACTCTGTTTTTTTTCCAACAAAAATATTTTTCTCATAAGAGGCCCCAATTTCTAATTTTGAGAGCACCCTGGGCGCTTATTACGTCAAATACGGTAGCAGATTTTAGGTTCACTAAAAATTTAGTGTCTTTAACAAAACGTTTCATTGCATGTTGCAACAAAATTGGTAAAATATATTCAATTTTACATACAAAGGAACCTGTAAAAGAACAGGAACGTCTCCTCTTACAAGACAAAACATGGGATTAAAAAATTTACAAAATCAATCATCATGCTTAGTTTGTAAACGTGCAAGACAAAAAGCACCACAAAAAATCCAGACAAGCACTCACTGTTGAAAGTGTTCCTCAGACACAGGTAAAACATAATCATCAATTACACGTTTCAAGTTGACAGGGGAGATAACTCCCTCAGCTCTGTGGTCATAACATATTATTGCCTCGGCTACAGTCTTCCAGTGCTCAGAGATCTTTGCCCGTAATAAATCTTCTACCTGTAATAAACATGCACAGTGCTCATGCAACATAAAGTGTTAACCAAAACAACTGCAGTGAAAGATAACTTCGTCAGTTTGAACAGAAATTCATACAAAGTCATGCAGTGGTCATTTTCTCAGGTGATAATATTACATTACTTATTTAGTAGGGGTGACTATTGGTCTGGAAATCACTATTGTGATAACTATTGATATTGAAAGAAACTATTGCGATAACTAATATTGCAAGCAACTATTGCGATAAATATCAATAGTTTTCAGTGTATCATTTTAGATGGATTTTAGAGTTGAATTGAACCTTGGAACTGAAGTTTCCTTTGAATGTGATAACCATAACAACAAATAAAAAGTAAAGTTTGAGATATGACTGATGTGTTTTTTCTTTACCCTAATAATTTAAGAAAAAGAAACCTCCACATTACCATGTTTAAATTACTACCACTCATGATCAAAAGAAAAACAAATTTGAACCGCATTGCGTGTATATAATTGATATTGTTCGACAATCGAAACTATCGATATTCCTAATTTAAATCCATACTATTGATCGGAAACTGATTTAACTATCGATTTATTGACTTTTAAGTGCTTACCAAGAGCAATACATGTATATCGATATTTCAATTTATCATGACATCCCTTTTTAGTGTCATAGTTAATTAAATTCCAAACAAATTTATTACATAAAGCCCTTCAAATTATCACTTGGTCTACTGTTTTATTCATTCAAAATGACAGGGTTGGTGGTCGCATTAATATGAATATTAAATCTCAAAATTAAAATTTATTTCTTGGAAGTTGGTTGGGTGAAATGACGGAAAAAAACACAAAGAAATTAACAGTGAAAATAGGACTTCAATTTGTGCTTAATTTTGTAACATTTTTCATCACTGGGTCTGTAAGTAAATCCTAACATCCACATGGCATCTTGTAGTAAATTAATTCAGAATGAATACTTTTTATAATTTTACATAACAAAACTTAAGACGTTTTTTGATAGGAATAATCACAGCAGAAACGGCTGGTGAAAATATCATCAAAATAGCAGATGTGACGTTTGTGACTTTACAACAAACACAGGAATGTGATGAAATGTGATGAAATGTGATTGTGCCACACAGACAACACTCTGTCAGACAACAGATTCACACATACATATAAAACCAACTTACAGTTTCCCATGCTAATATTGCAGGCTGCTGGTGCTCGTTAACTCTGTGACAAGAGTTTAACCACTTGTGTCCTTCCTGAAAACAGTAACACATTCCTGAACTGCAGAATACATCATTATCTTCATCAGTAACTGGGGGCGGTCGGTAGCCTAGTGGTTAAAGCGTTAGCTCGTCATGCCGAAGACTCGGGTTCGATTCCCGACATGGGTACAATGTGTGAAGCCCATGTGTGAAGCCCATGTCTGGTGTCCCGTGATATTGCTGGAATATTGCTAAAAGCAGCGTAAAACCATACTCACTCAATCACTCATCAGTAACTGGTCCTGGTCAAGATTAAAATGTATCCTTGACACGTATATTTAGTATGGCCTAGAGGCAGATTTCTCAGAGGGGCTTGGATTTTAGTTAGGGAGCATCTATTGTTTTCTGTGGGGAGATGTTTCGATTAACAAATATTCCCAAACATTAATACTAATACTAATTAAATCCTCTGACCCATACAAATCCAATGGATGCTCCCTTAGTAACAGAATATTTTTTCTCCCACTACCAAGCATAGCCCCAACCAGCCAATCCAGTGATCGGCAATATGATCAGAGTCCCTTGTAGGGGTGTCATGTAATAAGGGCTGGGATGAGTCCAAATTTACTACCCGGGTACCCACCATGCTATTACCCGACTATACACGGAAACCCACTATATGTCTCAAGACTTGGGTGTAAAATGTCCGATTGGGAATAGTTTGACCGTAGCCCTGGTAAAATGTATTTAGATACACGCATAAAACGATCTGGTCATGCAAACACTGAAGTTGACTGAAGTTATATCTTTATTCAAACCTATAAAGGTCAGAAGGAATGGGTGCATAGTCAGAAAGAAATGCGAATATTAGTGGCTTGTAGTGTAACCATAGAGTTTTAGATATTTTTTGTCATTAAAATATATATTACGTGACTTACTACGGGTCCGGGTAGTCCTGTGGGTACTTGGTCCGACTCAGTACCCACCGAACCCGAGTACCCGAGTTACCCATCCCAGCCCTACATGTCAAGATTTCACTGTCTGACCACAAGACTATGTTTCCTCTTAGGATGAGGTAACAAAGTTATCAGTCAAATAATTTCAAATTTTCCTCACGGAAATAGTTACCACATTCGACGTAATAAAGCGCCCCACTCTAATAAGACCCCACGGGGATATTTGCTAATATATTGGCTAGTGAACAATCCCATTTAGCACCCCTTCCGATTGATCAATGTACACAAGACTTATTTATTCTCATATAATACGCACTCGCGTGTTATATGCACCCTGAATTATGGGCAATTAAATTCTGGAAAAATATATCTGTTGCACATAAACATTTCAGGCTGCCAGCATAAACCACAAATTTTATCTTTCAACTGTGTCTTTTTCACCAAAATAATATTCTAATAAGAGCCCCCTATTTCTAATTTTGAGAGCGCTCTGGGCGCTTATTACGTCGAATACAGTACTCTGGTTTCAGTCGGGGTGTGACGACATGCTCTCTGCCAAGTACAAAGTCTGGCCACCAGACAAGTTGCCTCTTACAAACAGCAAAGGTTGAGGGAACTAAGTTACAAGTCAATCCATTTAGAACTGCTTCATATAGAAATGGTTACCTTGGTTTCCTTCTCCTCAAAGAAGTCGAGGAACTTGTGGTAGGAGATGCTGTTGCTGTGGTGAGGATCTAACGTCACCATCATTTTCCTGAACTGTTCCTCATCCAGGCGGAACGCAAATTTCTCGATGATACGACGCAGCTCTTTTCTTGTGATCCGCCCATTCCGATTCTGTACACAAACAATTTCAAATGTACAGTGAACAGATTTCTACACATTTTTTCCCCAAGTCAATACAACCTACACATTCGTCACCACTCGCCCCTTTCCGTAACCTGCAAGAAGACTCGTCCCCCTATCGATGAATGTTATGTGCGAAAATACGACAAACCAATCAGAATGCGCGTAAGATTTCAAGTTCTTCGTCACAGAATCCCTCAGAAATAATTTTTGATTTTACATGTGTCTTGCATCTAAAAATATACCCAAGACACAGTTAAATGTGTTCAATCATACTGTATAATTCTGCATGTCCCGATGTGCTTTAAATTGCATCTGAAATATGGGGAAATATATGTGAACCATTACGCAATGAGTTGACAATTGTTTTAGGTATGCCCGTTTGCGCTAAGACGGAACCCGGTTGCAAAAATGGCCATGAGATGGGCACGAGTCGCTATTTGGCTTGTCCCGGAATAACACGAGTTGGTCACGAATGACAACCTACAGTGACAGGAATCAGTTTCAAAACCCTGCATCTGCCCAAGGTTCCTTTGAAAATTTAGGCACCACTTCTAAATCCAAACAAATATCCATAATTTAGAATGTAACACAGCTTCTACAAACGTCCCTTATGGTATCAGTGATATGCTGTAGCCTTACAGACCCGTGAAGATTCCGGGGTAGACTAGGTCTTCAGCAACCCATACTTGCCGTAAAAGGTGACTATGCTTGTCGTAAAAGGCGACTAACGGGATCAGGTGGTCAGGCTCGCTGACTTGGTTGATGCATGTCATCGATCCCAATTGCGTGGATCGATGCTCATGACATTAATCACTGGATTGTCTGGTAGACTCGTTTATTTACAGACCGCCGTCATATAGCTGGAATATTGCTGAGTGCGGCGTTAAAAAACAAACCAACCAACCAACCAACTGTAGCCTTACACCAGCCCTGTCCTTATATTAGAACATAAAGAATGTCGATTGTCAAATATTTGTTTGCAGTACAAATTCTATTGTACAGTCGTAAACTTACCCCATCAAACTCAAGGAAGGCACTCTTGAAGGAGGAGTAGTTAGACTGGACGTGGCGGTACAGCTGGTACCAGATGTCATCAGCCTCCATCATCTTCTGCGTCTCCATGATGGGGAAGAACCTAAACACACAACACACGTCTGACTACCTACAGCCAACCCACAGCCAACCCACAGCCAACCTACAGCCAACCCACAGCCAACCCACAGCCAACCCACAGCCAACCTACAGCCAACCCCCAACCCACAGCCAACCCACAGCCAACCTACAGCCAACCCACAGCCAACCTACAGCCTGCCCACAGCCAACCCACAGCCAACCTACAGCCTGCCCACAGCCAACCCACAGCCAACCCACAGCCAACCTACAGCCTGCCCACAGCCAACCCACAGCCAACCCACAGCCAACCTAAAGCCAACCCACAGCCAACCTACAGCCTGCCCACAGCCAACCCACAGCCAACCTACAGCCAGCCAACCCACAGCCAACCTACAGCCAACCCACAGCCAACCCACAGCCAACAGTTGTCAAATAGTGAAATGTTCTCAATGCTCATCAGAGGCGAATCCGGGATTTTGAAAAAGGGGGATGCACATAATCCAAAGTCCTGCAGCACCCTTTGGATCCATCAGTGCTCATTAAAGACCAAACAGGTTGCTATGACTTTTAATGAGTCAAAGTCTGGCATTATGATACGTGTATCCATTCTCTGTCAAATAAAATTCCTTTCCAGGCATCAAAAGCTGGAATTTCACCATCCTAGCTGTTAAAAACGATGAGTTGCGTGATCTACCGATCCCATCACACACAATTTTGCCAAATTAATGTAAACCATATTGAAAGAAATTTTTAATAAAATTCATAAAATAGGTTACAAACATAAGTCCAGATATACAACGAACACGTTTTTAGAACCAGAAAGTGTGATAATAGGATTAAATTGCAGAGTTCAGTTTGGATATGCTGATTGGTATTTACAGTGTTACGTGCTCGCGTTCATCAGCTGGTAATGTTTTTTCTGTGAAAGGGGAAAATCATTGTGCCGGTGTGAAATTTGAGTTTATTAAAAATGTAAATAAATTTTGGGAGCTATGCGTTACTGCTTGCTATAACCGAGTTAGCGCTATATTGAAGGGCACGGCATGATAGGTCCTGGTGTTTGTGACTTCAATAATGGAATAAGGGAGAGTCTCTTCAGGAAGGTTTGTTTCACTCCAGCAGTCTTCCATTACTTCTGAGTTAAAATGACATTCCGGGGTCTCTTTAAAAAGTAAAATCAGAAGAAAGTAACAAAACAATAGTCTTTTCTTGTTATCGGACAGGTAAATAAACCAGTCACCAACCAATCTTTGTTTATTATACTGTCACTTATCCAGTATAATAATTGCAATCAAACTCACTTGTGATTAGGTTTGATGGGCAGTGTTTGTCCATTTCCGACCATCCATGGATTCTGGAACTTTTCCAAGAAGATTTCCCAGGATATCTTGTGGCTTCCCTTCACACCACACCTGGAGATTTAGAACATTGGGTGTCAGAGAGGTAGCAACTATATATCTTTTTTACCTAGAAAAGACATTGTACCCCTGGAGAAATAGTTTTTTTTCTTGTGGTTGAGTAACTGGAGAATGAGTGAATGAAGCATCAGCTTTCCTAATGACCCCTGTTTATAGAAGATGATCTTTCACTCTGATTTGATAGATACCCCTCTCAGATCACCCACCAATAGGAGGTCTCATCAAGTGAAGTTTCTAATCATCCAATCAGACCTCTAAATTCTTGGTATAAGAGGCGAAATATTTAGGCGCAGCAGATCTGACTTCTGTGTCTCGAAAACGAACTTAAACGAGCTGTTTTGAATGGTGAATAATAATGTCCGCAGACATTTAAATACTCAATCTAAACCGTACTACAACCCATTGTTACAGTTAGGTCTTTTAATCAACAACATAACAATTTCTTTCAGCCCGTGGTTTTAGTTTTCCTGCACAAAAATATTAATAAAATTGCCCATAATAGCTCAAGGCAGTCCGTTTGACAATGAAGCCGAAACAATTTAGAAAGCCGAAAGCTCATATTCCTCATATTGATTGGGCAGTCAAGTTCTCTTCTGTGTAGGCTTTGTCAGATCTTGTAAAGAAAAAAGAAATCAAATCCTAAAAAGAACTGATATTTATGAATTATGCAGGTTCATGCTAGGCACTAAGACAAAGCATTTTTTTTGTTTTTGTTGTTGTTTAACGCTGCACTCAGCAATATTTTAGCTATATGCGGCGGTCTGATAAACAAATGAATCTGGACCAGACAATCCAGTGATTGACATCGTGGGCATTGATCCACGCACTTGGGATACGATGACATGCACAAACCAAGTCAGCGAGCCTGACTACCTGATCCATTTGTCGCCTGTTACGACAAGCATAGTCACTTTTTATGGCAAGCATTGGTTGCTGAAGACCTTTTCTTCCCCGGATCTTCACGGGTCACTAAGATGAAGGAGTAGAATAACATGGATGGGGGTTCCAGAGCACTGAAGCAGCCTACCTCTCCATGAGTTGACTGAATAGCTGGTCGGACATGGGGATGGTGAAGTTGGTGAGGATGGCCTTCAGGTCGTCCAGGGAGATGAACCCATCCAGATGCTTGTCAAACGACATGAAGGCTTTCTTCAGGTTAACGTAGTTGGTCTTCATCTGTGGCCCACAAGAGAGGAGATCATACACATTAAATACATTGACCACACCAACATAATCATACAGATGACAAAATACAGTGATGGATCGAGATCTGTCATTATTTTCAACAATAGGACAAACTCAGTTGGAGGTCAGTTGAGTGAGTGTGGTTTTATGTCGCTTTTAGCAATATTTCAGCAATATCATGGCGGGGGACACCAGAAATGGGCTTCACACATTGTACCCATGTAGGGAATCGAACCTTGGTCTTCGGCAAGACGCTTTAACCACTAGGCTACCCCACCAGGATACCCCTGGACATCTCAGTTGGAAGACAATTGGACAGACTCAGTTGGAGGCAATTGGACAAATTCAGTTGGAGGACAATTGGACAGACTCAGTTGGAGGCAATTGGACAAATTCAGTTGGAGGACAATTGGACAGACTTAGTTTGAGGTAATTGGACAAATTCAGTTGGAGGACAATTGGACAGACTCAGTTGGAGGACAATTGGACAGACTCAGTTGGAGGCAATTGAACAAACTCAGACGGAGGACAATTGGACAGACTCAGTTGGAGGACAATTGGACAGACTCAGTTGGAGGCAATTGAACAAACTCAGACGGAGGACAATTGGACAGACTCAGTTGGAGGACAATCGGACAGACTCAGTTGGAGGACAACTGGGCAAACTCAGTTGGAGGACAATTGGACAAATTCAGTTGGAGGACAATTGGACAGACTCAGTTGGAGGACAATTGGACAAACTCAGTTGGAGGACAATCGGACAGACTCAGTTGGAGGACAACTGGGCAAACTCAGTTGGAGGACAATTGGACAAACTCAGTTGGAGGACAATTGGACAGACTCAGTTGGAGGACAATAGGACAAACTCAGCTGGAGGACAATTGGACAGACTCAGTTGGAAGACAATTGGACAGACTCAGTTGGAGGACAATTGGACAGACTCAGTTGGAGGACAATTGGGCAAACTCAGTTGGAGGACAATTGGACAAACTCAGTTGGAGGACAAGTGCATAGACACAGTTGCAGGACAATTGGGCAAACTCAGTTGGAGGACAATTGGACAAACTCAGTTGGAGGACAAGTGCATAGACACAGTTGCAGGACAATTGGACAACTCAGTTGGAGGACAATTAGACAGACACAGTTGGAGATCAAACAGAATGTAGGATAGAATAGACCCTGACCCTGTTCCTGAACTCCATCTCAATCTGAGTGAAGGTCATCTGGTTGAGCATCTGCTGGTCTCGCTGCTGCTGGTTGCGGATGCGGAAGTCGGACAGACCTCCCACCTGCTGCTTGTCATGGTTAGTCATGGCTGGCCAGGTCAGTGCTGTGGAAACAGAGTGTGAAGCCGTGGTTACATTCACTGTCACCAGATAGTGCTACAATCTGTTCATAACTTTGTTAAGAAACATGAGCATTGATCCACCCAATTGGGATACGATGACATGCATCAATCAAGTCAGCAGGCCTGACCACCTGATCCCGTTAGTTGCCTCTTAGGACGAGTATAGTCCCCTCTTAGGACAAGCATGGGTTGCTGAAGACCTATTCTACTCCGGATGTTCCTGGGTCACTAAGACGAGGGAGTAGAATGACATGGATGGGGTTCCAGAGCACTGAAGCAGGCTACCTCTCCATGAGTTGACTGAATAGCTGAATAGTTCCATACCAAATGACCACCATAACAATTACTTAAAATGGTAGGTACATAATTTGTTTTCTGCTGTTACCACTAATACATGACCGAAATGTAGGATTATTGCTTATGCTATCAACCACTGGTCTTGGCTTGTGCAGACTCAATAAATATGTCCTGTTTTTTCCGTAATTAGTCGGCTCCTGCAACAAGCATGAGATAATGTGGACCAATTCTGCCCCTGGAACCCTGAGTCAACTGTGACTCAGGCCATACAGTCCCCATGAGGAGTCCTGGATTTCCGCAACCTATGCTTGTTTTAAGAGGTGACATCATGGATTGGTGCAGGGATTGAAATTAACACATGTCCACAAGTACGAGATTTGTAAAATTCAGGAAGGAAAAGGGACATTGTGGGACACCACTTTTAACATTACAAGGATATAGCAAACGATTGAAAATTAAGTTAGTGTATAACCCTGTGTTAATTTGTTTGATTGTGAGTCCCCAGCAACCTATGTAGGTCATAAAAGGTGACCAAATGGATCAACTGGTGACTTGGTTGATTGCGTGTTGTTGTCCCCTGACGGTGTGGATCGTTACTCACAATATCAATCACTGGATCAGGGGTCTGGAAAATTTAAAATCCCAATCGGACATTTGCATTTAGGCCACACACCCTTCAAATAGCGTATTTTAGTACGACTTCTCACACATATTACAAGTTGTTACTTTCAGTATTCCCTCGTTATTGCACGCTTCAATATAGCGCTAACTCGGTCATAGAGCGTGGTAAAGCATGGCTCCTAAAATTTACTAATGTTTTTAACTAACTCAAGTTTTCCAATGACACAATGTTTTCCCCAATCTCAGAAAACATTATCAGCTGATCACCACTATCACGTAATACCGGAAATACCAGTCAATAAATCTGATAACGCTCATCAATTATTTGGACCCCATTTGTTTCTTAAAATGTCCGGACAGAAACATTTTCAATATTTCAAACAGGACATTTGAGATTCCCAATCGGACATGTCTGGCGCATATGACCGTTTCCGGACCCCTGCACTGGATTGTCAAGTCCACACTCACATATTTTCAGGCTGCCATCATAAAATTGCCATGCGCAGCATTAAACAACACAGAAAGAAACAGCTACTGCTGCACGTACCTCCTGGTACCCCTGGGGCAGGCTTGCTGTTGGGCCTCTGTGGCGTGACCCCCATCCGCTGCAGGAACTCCTTATAGTTCACCGTCCCTGTGTGGTGGAAGTCATACCTCTGCCACAGTCTACAAGAAAGGGGGTTTGACGGCTTCAGTCAACATGGATGTGTCATAAGCGTTAAATACCTCATAGTATTTTTTATTCTTCTCATATGACTATATTGCTATCAATGTCACTCAATAGTGAGTGAGTACGGTTTTACGCCGCTTTTAGCAATATTCCAGCAATATCGCAGCGGGGGACATCAGAAATGGGCTTCACACATTGTACCGATGTCGGGAATCGAGCCCGGGTCTTCGACATGATGAGCGAACGCTTTAACCACAAGGCTACCCGACCGCCCCTGTGTCACTCAATAAGGAAACAAACATTTATTTCAGAATATATCATTTGAAGTAAGGAACTGCTCCTTTTGTAATTAAGATCATATGTCAACAACAGCCTTGTCATCATTGTTCATGATACGGCAATGGGTTGGTGTGAGTGAAGGCAATTGTTTGAAGGTGCATCTGTGTAAACCAGGTACCAGACAGGAGGAAGATATCTAGTGACTGACAGTTCTCAGCACTCTGCATACTTCAGCATTTGTATTCTCCCCAGGGAGAGGATTCCTTTTTATCCAATGACATGGACCATCTTACACAAATTAACGTCAGTGCTACACATTGACCATCTTACACAAAGTGATCTTAGTGCTACACTTGGACAATCTTGCACAAAGTGATCTTAGTGCTACACTTGGACCATCTTGCACAAAGTGATCTCAGTGCTACACTTGGACCATCTTGCACAAAGATATCTTAGTGCTACACTTGGACCGTTTTGCACAAAATAATCTTAGTGCTACACTTGGACCATCTTGCACAAAGTGATCTCAGTGCTACACTTGGACCATCTTGCACAAAGTGATCTTAGTGCTACACTTGGACCATCTTGCACAAAGTGATCTTAGTGCTACACTTGGTCCATCTTGTACAAAGTGATCTCTGTGCTACATTTGGACTATTTTGCACAAAGTGATCTTAGTGCTACACTTGGACCATCTTGTACAAAGTGATCTTAGTGCTACACTTGGACCATCTTACACAAAGTGATCTTAGTGCTACACTTGGGCCATCTTGCACACAGTGATCTCTGTGCTACACTTGGGCCATCTTGCACAAAGTGATCTTAGTGCTACACTTTGACCGTTTTGCACAAAATAATCTCTGTGCTACACTTGGACCATCTTGTACAAAGTGATCTCAGTGCTACACTTGGACCGTTTTGTACAAAATAATCTCTGTGCTACACTTGGGCCATCTTGTACAATGTGATCTTAGTGCTACACTTGGACCATTTTGCACAAAATAATCTTAGTGCTACACTTGGGCCATCTTGTACAAAGTGATCTTAGTGCTACACTTGGACCATCTTACACAAAGTGATCTTAGTGCTACACTTGGACCATTTTGCACAAAGTGATCTCAGAGAGCTACACTTTGACCGTTTTGCACAAAATAATCTTAGTGCTACACTTGGACCATCTTGTACAAAGTGATCTCAGTGCTACACTTGGACCATCTTGCACAAAGTGATCTCAGAGAGCTACACTTTGACCGTTTTGCACAAAATAATCTTAGTGCTACACTTGGGCCATCTTGCACAAAGTGATCTCAGAGAGCTACACTTGGACCGTTTTGCACAAAATAATCTTAGTGCTACACTTGGACCATCTTGCACAAAGTGATCTTAGTGCTACACTTGGACCGTTTTGCACAAAATAATCTTAGTGCTACACTTGGGCCATCTTGCACTAAGTGATCTCAGAGAGCTACACTTGGACCGTTTTGCACAAAATAATCTTAGTGCTACACTTGGACCGTCTTGCACAAAGAGATCTTAGTGCTACACTTGGACCGTTTTGCACAAAATAATCTTAGTGCTACACTTGGGCCATCTTGCACAAAGTGATCTCAGAGAGCTACACTTGGACCGTTTTGCACAAAATAATCTTAGTGCTACACTTGGACCATCTTGCACAAAGAGATCTTAGTGCTACACTTGGACCGTTTTGCACAAAATAATCTTAGTGCTACACTTGGGCCGTCTTGCACAAAGTGATCTCAGAGAGCTATACCTTGACCGTTTTGCACAAAATAATCTTAGTGCTACACTTGGACCATCTTGCACAAAGATATCTTAGTGCTACACTTGGACCGTTTTGCACAAAATAATCTTAGTGCTACACTTGGGCCGTCTTGCACAAAGTGATCTCAGAGAGCTACACCTTGACCGTTTTGCACAAAATAATCTTAGTGCTACACTTGGGCCGTCTTGCACAAAGTGATCTCAGAGACCTACACTCTCGGACCATCGCAGTGATCTTGGTGCTACAACTAGTCTCTATGTTAAAGTATAGGAGTAACTACAGCCTCTGTACATGTGAGCCCAGTGTACAAATGTCCTCTTTGCATAGAAGTATAATGATAGTATAATGATAATCATGATACGATGTAATCTGATGACACTGGGAATACAAAAGTTTGAATTGTTTCAGAGTATGTTTACTTAAAAACAATAAAATATAAAGACATCATGTTAAGGTTTATGCTGTAGCTAAAAAACACTGGGATATCAAAAATTACATTTGTGTTGAGTGTCAATTTTCTTTCTTTTTTGGGGGGGGGGGGGTTGGTAAAACAAATGCTGAGAAATTTTCAAACAAATTTCAATGGCTCCAACTTTAATCCCCAATGACCAACCGTGAAGCTTTCTAAGCATAATTTTTAAAAAGAAATAAAAGTAGATTTTTAAAAACAATATTAAGTTCTGACCAATACTGGAAATATGCTTTGAAAATATCGAAACCTAAAACATAAAATGTGTGGTCTAAGTAGACGAACACTCTACCTCAAAAGCACAGAGCATTTCTATAGACTACTACACACAAAAGAATAGAAACTGACTCTCAGGGCACTAAATAAAGAAAACGCATGCTATTGTCCTGTCAACAGTCTAAAAGCCATATCACAAAGATCGGTGTTGCAGAGGTTAATACAATGTATATATCTATTCACGGTTTGGGGGTGAAGGTAAAGGTCACATAGAAAGCAATCCTGACAAACAACAGAAAAACCACAAAGGAGTTAATCAAGCGTGTCACCACGGCAACCAACAGAAGATCTGTTTACGTTACAGGAAACCTGTGCTGTCGATAAAACTAATGATCCAGAAAGTCTCTTGGAACAATATGGATTGTGAAATGTACAGTTACTCACATGGCAACTGACGCCAAATACCACCACTGCATGAAGCAAGGTTATCTCTCAACCAAGTACAGACTAAATAGAGAATCTCACCCGAGCGTCTCTTGATATCAAATATATCAACACGAGTTGGGAAAAGTGGAAAACTCTGAGGCTTGCCGAGGAGTTTGTCAACTTTTATCAACGAATGTTGATATGTTTGATATCAAAAGACACAAGGATGAGATTTTATTTATCATCCAACATCATTCTTACAACTTTTTCAGTTTGTAGACAGTAATCAGCAGTGCTTACAGCTTCAGTAGCAAAGCCATTAGTGATGTCATTTGATGCAATTTCATTGCAGTGATATCTACAATGTAGATATCACTTGATCTGACCCAAGCCATATCTCCTGTGGGAGCGAGTTTTGGATGATAAATACAAATACAATACAGCTAAACATCCCCCAAAATTAGTAAGTTGTCTCACAGTCCAAACATGAAATTTGGGGGGGGCAGTTGGAAGGAGGAATTGGGATTAATCAATAATCGAAAAACAATCTTTTTGCATCATATCTTACAAATCAATATTTTTGTTCTCAAGATGTTTGGATGTCCCCCCCCCCCCCCGACCCCACCCCCCAAAAGAAGTATTTTTTTAAGTGGTGACCTAAAAGATGTCCTGTCTCTAACACATATCCCAGTCCCTCTCACCAGAAGAGAGAATCTCATTCGAATGTCTTTTGATATCAAATATATCTACATATCGAGGGCTGTCGAGGAGATTTAAACTTTTTTCAACAAGTGTTGACATATTTGATGTCAAAAGACAGTAGAAATTCCATTTATCAACCAAAATCATCCGTCCAACTTTATAAGTTTGGAAACAGTTATAACCAATGACTTAAGTGTACAAAGTATAGCTAACTAGCCTCAGTGGCAGAGAGGTTGGTGATGCCATTTGATTGAGATGTCATGGTAACTGCATCTTCCCGAGGCAAGAGAGTTAACTGACTTAAAAAAGTCCAGTTTCCACCCTTGCCGAACCAAGCTGGAATTACTGGGCTCGATCTTAGCGCCACCAGTGGCTATTATCAGTTATGTCCCTTCTAAGCGTCTCCTTTGGACCAATCAGATTCCATCTCACGTATCACTTGCGTTTGCTTCACACAAAATGGTGGCGCCCTGTCAGGACGTTCTGATCGATAATCAGGATCTATATTGGGATAAAACGGGTCTTACATTGCGAAATGCATCAAATCCTGTGAGTACCTTGATTAAAAACATGAAAAGATTTAGAAAATATCTGCTGACAACGAGTTGGCGGTGCACATGCTTTGAAAATCCTGCAATCGACAGAAATCTGCGCGACAGTTTACGAACCGGATTTCGATTTCGGTGCGCAATTTTGATAGGACTATGCATAGACTCGTTAGTCCAGCCAAAATGTGACTCCGTAATACCAGCCTAGTTCGGCAAGGGTGGAAACTGGACTTTTATAGTCAGTTAACTCTCTTGCCTCGGGAAGATGTGGTGACTGAGGTGGAAGCCAGTTTAGGATGATGACACATGGATGGTCCTTTATGCCATCACATCAACCAGCCTGTCTAGAGACACGATGCTAGAGTTAATCTCAGTATCTTCAGCAACTAAAGAACATGTGATGGATCCTTGATAATCTTGGGAAGACAAGAAGTATGCCTCACTTGTCAAACTGCTGGTCTGTGAACTTGAAGCAGTAGTTTTCCAGCACCCGGCGTAGCTCATGCCGCTGAATCTTGCCGTCCATGTTGTAGTCAAACAGCTGCATGGCCTTGATCACCGCCTTCAAGTTGCCGCTCAGCTGTACCCAGGAAACAACAGCATTTAATTTTCTGGTTTCGGGTCAAAACATGACAAAACAAATGACGCCTGGAAAATATTTGTGACATAGAAAGTCTATTTTTTAATCACCTGACCTATCCTTGTGTCTTACAGATATGAAAGAAAGAATAAACTGGTGTATAAATGAAAGACAAAAGCTAACACTCGATATTCTGATAAACTGAAAATAAATATGGAAATCTGTGACACTCACATGAAATGTCACTTCAAATTATTATCAGATAAATTTTATTTTTTAACTGGCCCACTGCTAAGGTAGAACAAGGATAGATGGGCTTTTGTTCAATATTTTCAGCATGTCAAGACTGGCCCATTCTGATTATTCTGTAAGCCTAAAAAAGAAAAATGTGACCTTATGTGTAGTTTTTCTACAACAATAAACGTTTTCAAGTTTCAAATGCATCACTTCTCCAAAACAGCTCCTACAGCTATGTGGTTTAGCATACTGGGTAAAAATTAATACATTCCTTACATTCTGCATTCTCACTGAGGTTGTTTTTTTAATCTAAAAAAATAAATTCTTCCCGAGAATTATTGAAAAAATTAATTATGCTTCAGACTGTTGAAAACAAAACAAATTACCTGCCACAATAATAACATTGTTGCAACATGTTTTTCTTGCACAATATCAGGTTCAAAGTTGTTAATAAAAAAATACCTAGTTTTGAAGCTGTCTCTGAAAAAATATATAATCTTGTTACAAAATATCTAATGTCGAACGAATCCCAGGCCCACCCCACGATGATCAAATGGTCGGTGACTTATCGATCTCCATGTTGTCTTTCATCAATAAATACATTCTCTCAAAAGCAATGTTGCATGAATTCATACATTCGATATGGCACAAAGGCTACCCTATATTATGCTCTTGCTTTCCTCATAAATCTCCTTAAAATATACAAAAATAGAAAGCACTCTTTCAATATACACAAATTTGAATATATTTACCAGTACAATTATCCTGACGTCCATGTTCTTAATATCAGATATTATGTTGATATTTGTCTAATATATATTTATAACTCACCTCAATCATATGGGCTAGAAATCTGTAAAACAGGAAAACTAGCTGGTCTGAACTAAGGGGAATAAGTCCAACCTTCCAAGAGGAGATAACTCTCACCTTCTCTCTGACCATCCTCTCCACAACATCCATGTTGATCTCCTTAGTGGGAGGCTGGTGAGCGTACCTGCATCAACAGAACAAATTCTCAAACACTTTCAGATTCTATTTATTACCTAATCATTCAATGTTTACGTATATTGTTAATCTTGGAGAACAAACAGTTACACACCTGGTGGCCTAAACCTAAAGGTTCAATTGAATACAAAAATATTCCTGTCTGTACATAAAATAGAAAATACTTATAGCAAAATAACATCTGCAATTAGCATATCAATGAAATTAATCAATACTGTCAAATATTCAAACACTTAACTGAATTATATTCATCATAAGCATGAGATGTGCATTATAATCACTTTCGAGCACATTGCACATATCCCCATACATCAGCACTGTACATGTGTGTACTCTATTTCTACTGTGTCATTGTTAATTCAACAAGCATGAAATACTCACATCTCCCGCCAATATGTCCGGGTTGTGTGCAAGGCATTAGCCCTCCGGAAACAAGCACTACCTCCATTTTTAGTCTAAGTCAAACTCGTTTCCATAGAAAAATCCCAAACTATCAAAGGCACCAGTTTACCTCTAGACCTATCTATGTACCAAGTTTGGTGAAAACATATTGGGTTGGGGAGTGGGTGTGTGCGTCCGTAGGGCGTGCGTGAGGGCATGCGTGAGGGTGTGATTGAGGGTGTGAGTGAGGGAGCGAGCGAGCATGATTTGATGCCATGTTTATCAAAGATAATAGGGATATGACAGGAAAATGACTATCGTAAAGATCCCATACCGTTGCTGGCCACTCATCCACTTCTCACGGCTGCCGGTGCTGCCTTTCCCATGGAACTTCTCCAGGAAGTCCTGATAACGCACAGTTCCATTGGGGTTACGCTCCACCTGTTCACGATGAAAGAGGTTTTGGGTTGCAGCAACAGTGGATCAAAAGCATGAAGCTTATGTAAAGTCAAGAATCCAACGTTAACATTTTAACCACATCACTGGTGCCACACCTCTTAAAGGGACTCTCGGCTCTAGGTTATTGGCAACCCTGCAGTTGTGATTCAATTTTTTCAAACACAAGTTGTCAGTTTGCTCATTCAACTTTCATAATGCAACATAGTATCTCATACAGACCCTGAAACAAATATATCTAATAAAGCCCATGCAAGTCTAGAATACAGCAGTATCTGAAAATGAAAACATCTCTTGGCTCCTTTTGATTATATTTCATAACAATCGTAAACTGTCATGCAGATTTCGGTCGATTGCAGGATTTGCAAAGCATGTGCACCGCCAACACATTGTCAACAGATATTTTCTAAATCTTTTCATGTTTTTAATCAATGGGCTCACGTGATCTGATGCACTTTGCGATGTAAGGCTCGTTTTATCACAATATAGGTATTGATTATCAATCAGATCGCTTGACATTTTGATTGAAGCAAATGCAAGTGAAATGAGAGGTGGAATCTGATTGGTCATCAGGAGAGGCAAAGAAGGGACATAACTCGTAATAGCCACTGGTGGCGCTACGATCGAGCCCAGGTATTCCAGCCTAGTTCAGCAAGGGTGGAAACTGGACTTTTAAAGTCAGTTAACTCTCTTGCCTCAGGAAGATGGTCAAATGAGCATGTTAACAACATGAGTAGAATCATAAAAAACAATATTTGCTGTTTCAGGTGACTTCTTATTTGTATGTCTATGTTCTGCCCAAGTGTGTAACATGTCACATTAACTCACTATATAATAAACCTGTCTGATTAACAATAAGCAAGATGTATCCTTTTTATTCATTATTGAATGAGCCTGACCACCTGATCCCTTGAGTCGCCTCTTACGACAAGCATAGTCACCTTTTACGGCAAGCATGGGTTGCTGAGACCTATTCTCACCAAGATCTTCAAGAGATTTGGGAAAGTATGTAAATAGGCAGTGTTAACTTTGCATTGTGTGTTTGTCAGCTGCAGATAAAGTAACTGACAAGTCATTTTTTCTATTCTGCACATCTTCCATTAGTTGTTGCTTCACTCGATAAAGTTTCGTGGTCAAAATATATGTTTTTTTCTTTTCTCTGATTTAGCAGGGCAAGTTGAAAATCAGTTTGGGCCAGGAAAAGTTTAGAGTTGACTTGCCCTTGGGCAAGTAGGACATTTTGGTATTTAACACCCCTGATTGATGTCACTGTGTTCTATATTATTGAGGAAACACACCTTGACTAGAACGGCTTCATACTGCTCTGATGTGAGGGGGAAGCAGAACGACTCCAGAACTCGCCGGAACTCCCCCTTGGTTATACTCAAGTTCTGGTCCACATCATACGTCTGGAAGGCCTGAAACAATGTAACAATCTGGTAAACAAACACTCAATAAACAACATCAGATTCAACAAAATAAACAGATAAACAAATTTCTGAACAGGGCACACACTCATTGATAATACAATTGAGTGAGTGAGTGAGTTAGTGAGTGAGTTGGGTTTAACACCGCTTTTAACAGTATTCCAGTTATATCACAGCGTGTCAGCTTAACGCGGGAGGAAAGCCCAAAGTGATGTCTTAGACGTTTACCAATTTGGTGAAACCCACAAGCACGGGTATGGTGCTGACAACCAAGAAACATAATCAGGGCGAATTGGGATTTGAACCCATAATCATAGATTTCTGTTCTGCCAATGGGACGCAACTGTTCACAGCAAACTGCAGCGCCTTGGACGACTTGGGCACCTGTGCCCCTTACATTGTGTGTCCTCCAGGATTTCAATGTTGTTTGGTTGGTTGTTTTTTTAACGCCGCACTCAGCAATATTCGAGTAAATAATCGAGTCTGGACCAGACAATCCAGTGATTAATATCATGAGCATCGATCCATGCAATTGGGATCGATGACATGCATCAACCAAGTCAGTGAGCCCGACCACCCGATCTCGTTTGTCAAGCATAGTCACCTTTTACGGCAAGCATGGGTTGCTGAAGACCTATTCTACCCCGGCGTCTTCACGGGCGGATTTCAATGTACTTTCAGGACAGGATGCTATATTTTCCATCCAGTCGAACCCTGTAGGGTGAGGTGATTTCAGTAGCTATTTCATGATCTAAACATTCACAGTGTGTCCCAGACTGATGAGACATGAAGGTCCATGTGTCCCATTCCCGTTAGTTCAACCATGTGGCAGACAGTAGTTCCTACCTGCTTCAGACTGTCGAACTTGAGGCGGACTTTCTCCCGGAGCTGCGCCTCAATCTCAATACTGGACATGGCCGCATTGCCTGCTCTGGCTGTGACAGGGTGATCTGCCCCTGAAGTAGACAATGTTCCCATGTTTCTTTCTCACATAAGAATATTGTTCCGTAATAATGTTTCATCATATAATAGATATATTAATATCATAAGATAAACCAATCGTAAAAAACCCAAAATCCAGTGATTGACAGCATGAGCATCGATACACACAATTAGAATATGATGACATGCTTCAACCAAGTCACCAAGCATGACCACCTTATTCTGTCAGTGACCTCCTACGACAACATGGGCATTAATCATCAAACAAAATGGAACAAGGGCAAAAGTGAGCGTGGCTCACTAATACCCCCGAAACGCCTAGTGTGTCAGTAGTTTCAAATTAAATAGCTAGGATAGGATTAGGGTTTGAAAAATTCCAAAAAAAAATGGAAAATTAATAAAAACATTTTTTTTCTTTTGACTGCACCCCTCCATATGACACATTTTTTATGTACTATGTTTGAGATGAATCCACTGAATAGTTTAAGAGAAATAGCACAGACAAAGTTTTCGGTCGGACGGACGGAACCTTGGTATAACATTACATTCATCAGCTTTGTCTGATGCAGTAGGTATTATAACATCATTGTTCTGAACTAAAGAGAACCCTGGAGGTTTGCTGCTAATGTCAGTTTGTAGTAGGGCTGGTACTCGGGGCTGGTACTCAGGTCGGGCAGGTGATGAGTAGGACCCAGGTACCCACAGGACTACCCGGACCAATGGTTAGTAACATGATATATTGTTTAATGACAAAAATTCTACCTGACTTCTACGCCCATTCCTTCTGTTTTTTTTTGTTTGAATAAAAATAAAACTTCAGTCAACTTCAGTGTACATGCATGACCAGATCGTTTCATACATGTATCTAAACACGTTTTACCAGCGCTGCGGTCAAACTTTTCCCAATCGGACAGTTTGTACCTTCCTCTTGAGACCTACAGCAGGTACCCGGGTAGGGCCGGGTAATAGGGGGATGGGTACCTGGGTAGTAAATTTGGACTCTTCCCAGCCCTAGTTTGTAGGTATTCCAGGTTAGATCAGGCCCCCAGCAACCTTTGATGACTAAATGAACTGGGTGGTCATCCTCCGTGACTTGGTTGATTGTGGGTCATTATATTATACCCAGCATCGTGAATTGTTGCTCACAATATTGATCCCTGGATTATTTAATACAGGCTGCCAACATATAGCTGGAATGTATCTGAGTGTGACATTATACAACAAACAAACAGTCTGTCTCATGTAAAAGGCATCCTAAGGGCTAGTACACTTTGAGGCTTATCAGCAGGTGTTCTTTTATGCTAAACCTATCTGGCTAGCAGAACTCCGGTTAAGTTGCATACCTTGGTAACCCTTTAATTTTAACTTTTATCACAAGAACAACTTGACCATTATTCATACCCAATTTTAAATACTGAGAAACTCACTTATCATCGCTAATTTCTCCGACATGACACCAAACAAAACATTGGTTACAGTGCTGTTTATTGACCACCCACTGTTATTAAATGTTCATTAGTCACCAGAGTTAATCCTCTTTGACAACATAAACCTAAAACTCAAGATCACGCTGATTATATGTTGTCAGGAAGGTAGAATCAAAACATAAGATGTTATTTTCCAGGCAACTGGTCCAATACTACAGTAAATCAAACATGAGGACCGAATGGTTTCTTGGTGTGTAAAAATGTCAATGAGACAGAGTTTGAGTAAACAGTTTCTGCTCTTAACACGCAAGAGTGTTCCTCAACAACCCGCAACTGCTGTGAATTTACTCACTGATTATTACAGCTGCTGTTCAAACAACAACTGCTGTTCAGAAACTGAAGTAGGCAGTATGATCACTGTGTGTGACCGGTAGGAGTAGCACAGTACCCAAGGGAGATAATTATGAGAGAGTCTTATGAAAAAACAAGGCTCAGTGGGTGGGGCGAGAATATTTTTTGATAATTTGGGGGAAGCCATTCAACTTTTTGATAATTATTTTACAATAATGTGATTGGTTTAATTAGAGCCCTGTGTGAAGTTATTTAACCAATCCTGTGGAAAACCTGGGTGGGAATGGGTCATTATCTTCATTTGAAAACATGCTTTTACTGTCATACTACAAATGAACGGGGTTTTTCAAAGACAAAAAGAGATTCCAGGTCCAAATAGAATAGGTCCCCCACAACCTATGCGGGTTGGAAGAGGCAACGAAATGGACTGTGGCCTGGCTTTGAGACATGCTGTCATTTCCCGACATGATAGTTGTTCACAATAAGATCAATATCAGTCACTGCATTGTCTAGTCCAGAATCGATTATTTACAGACTTTCACCATATAGCTACAATATTGATGAGTGATACGTTTAAAACAACAAACAAATCAAAGAAAAACAATCATGACCAGCCCACCCTATTATGGGATGGGTTGAAATAGGAAATAGACAAGTGTTTTAGAGGGGCCTCAATCTCATTAAAATCAGATCTTAGTTCTCGCTATCGCTGAACAAAGATCTGAAGACATCCCATTACGGGTCACATCAGAACGCCATTTCATCTGACCAATCAAAGCGTCGCTTACTAGGTCATGTTTTCTAATCATGCAACCTCGAAAATGTTAACCCGGGGTATTCTGAACGACAGTTACGGCCCGTACGGCTGATTCCGTCAAAATTACCATCTATTTCTTGCTTCTGATAGATAAACATTTGAACGGAGGAGGCGTTGAACAGTACGTGGGAAGCATGGCCATACATTCTCAACCATATATATAAGACACTCTAGAATGTTCGTTTTCAAAATTTTAATCGAGAACTGTGTCAACATATCTTTCAAGTGTAGTCTGAGATGGAAGTCGCCAGGTTGAAACAAGTGCCGTAAAAGTTGAGAAAGCTGCTTTCTAATTGGCTGATGTCAACTTCTTGTTAGCCATTTCAGTGGTCGGGTAAAGTTCACAAAAGGTCGTTCTGACGTGACCCGTAATGGGATGTTCTCAGATCTTTGTTTAGCGGTAGTGAGAACTTAGTTCTGATTTTAATGAGATTGGAGGGGCCTTATTTAATACTTTCCTCTTAACCTACCAACAAGAACAAGTCTGACCCTTGTTATAAATATATCTCTGCCCTAAAGTCTATTGAAGTTTTGTTTGTTTGTTTGTTGTTTAATGGTGCACTCAGCAATATTCCAGCTGTGTGACGGCGGTCTGAAAAATATTTGAGTCTGGACCAGACAATTCAGCGATTGACATCATGAGCATGGACCCATGCAATTGGGATACGATGACATGCATCAACCAAGTCAGCGAGCCTGACCACCCGATCCCGTTAGTCGCCTCTTACGACAAGCATAGTCCCCTTTTATGGCAAGCATGGGTTGCTTAAGAGCTATTCCAACCCAGATCTTCATAGAAGATACAGTTTACACTCTTCCAGTTACAGTAGTGTGACAGTTGTATGAATCTCACTGGAGTCTTTTGATATAAAATATATACACACTGGTTGATAAACGTTTAAAACTCTGCAGAGATTTTAACTCTTAGCGTTGAGTCCAGATATATTTGCAATAAAAAGACACAAGGGTTAGATTCTCTTTATCATCCAAAAATAATTCTTCCAACTTTATCAGTTTGTAAACAGTAATAACCAGTGTCTTGAGGGTAAAAATTACAGCTAACTAGTTTCAGAGGCAGAGAGATTAGTCAATAGTGTTGTCATGGTAACTGATGATGCTACAAGTGTCTTCAGAATCATTGATTTAAAACTTTTCAGTAAGCCTCTTTTAATCCTTTATCAACTCATGTTTTTTTTATAGATTTGAGTGAGTGAGTGAGTGAGTGAGTATGGTTTTACGCCGCTTTTAGCAATATTCCAGCAATATCACGGTGGGGGGACACCAGAAATGGGCTTCACACATTGTACCCATGTCGGGAATCAAACCCGGGTCTTCGGCGTGACGAGTGAATGCTTTAACCACTAGGCTACCCGACCGCCCCTTATATATCAAAAGCCATTAGAGTGATATTCTCTCTATATATATCGTGTACAATGTGTAGATACACATATACAATCTTATCTAACCTTACTTTAACATACTAGCTTCTGATTGGTTAAAGTGCGGGCAGTTATTTTTCATGTTGCCCGCTGAAAGGCGGGGTACAAATTTCATGCAACCCGCTGAGAAATGGATCGGAACGCATCTCTGGAAACTTACTTATTTCGCACAAGTATCGTTAAGTTTCTGAAATGGACCAATGTTTATCCGAATGCATTGGGTAAAGGGAAGCTACTCGGGTTTTTTTCATCACCTGCTACGAGTTTTGCTAACTCAGTGAAACTGCGGACATATATTCTTGACCTGTATGAATGAATGTCAGTAAGATCAATTTGTTAACCGATCACCAGGGGCATATGGTCTGTACCCTCAGTGTGAGCCTATATATCCTATACCCCTCAAGATCGATTGACAATTAACTTATAATATCCATCATGAATAATTCATCGACACTACAGTGAAGCCCTAAGTCAGTCATCAAGTCAATCATACAGTCATTCAAACCTCTCATTTGATACTTCATGCAATGATTTAATAACACATATATTTAACCCCTGTGTAACTAAGCAGCAAAAAGCCTCTCTCTCTCTGGTGACACAGCCTGTTTAGTGCCTATAGTTAATAACTCTGTGTCAACACATGGTATCTGTGTGTGAGGAGATTACATCAATTGAAGCCTCTGATCACGCTACAGCTCCCCTATTGAATATTTGACACTGGATTGTATGACAAGTCATATCCATTCATGCACACTCCTTGTATACATCTGGCTATATGAATAGAGAGGTTCCTTACCAGCCACCTTGTGAACTGATTCTGATAAAGATCCATTTCAGAGGGAGTTGGTTATTCAAGTGTTCTGATTAAGAATTTTATCTCTAAGGTCATCTAATTCATGACTTATACTGTAAATCATGAAATTATTGCGTCACCAAATTAATTTGAATGCCGATCCCAGCTATTAATATTGTAAGTAGCCCTACCTTCGATGGTCTTTAAAATTAAAAAACTATATGTCATTAATTGGCCAGTGACACCAGAAAGAATGCAGACTTAGATAAACATAATATATTTTGGGGGATTAGCAGTTTGACTGAATAAGACCAGACTTTTGTTTTATTTTTGGGCTTACAGATGTTTGGCAAAAAAATTCAGGTCATTTTTAAAAAAAAATTATTACCTCAAAATATTAAGCAGGTAGGGAAAAAAAGATGGAACAGTAGGAATATGGAAAGAAACCTCCCTTTTGTTATACATACATGTCAAGACTTGTCATAATATGTTGTGTTTTGAAGTTTTCAAGATAAATATTCATCAGCTTTTAATCATTGTATTTCAAATAATATAATTATATTGAAAGTGACAGTAAATGAGGTTTTTTTAACATTTTACATATTTTTAGTCGGCAGAATAAACAAATACTCCTTTTCATTTTTTCACATTTCAATTTTTGGGAGTCGGCAGTTCAATAAACTAAGAATTAAAAAAAAATGTGGCCTAATTTAGTTTTAGTTTTCTCACAAACTTAACTCCTCTTTCTTGACTCAAACTTAGTAAACTGATGAAGATTGGAAAGATTCCAAGTGATGTTACCATGGTGACACAAGTGAGTGCAAACTTACAGACATATGCAGTGTTCTCTATTCATTCAGCATCACCAATCTGCCATTACTGTACTAGACTCTTGTTACCATGTGGATGAGAAACACTTTACTCTTAATGATCAGAATACTTGACAAGGTGGCCAAGAACAAAGATGCCATTATATAGAGAATCTCAGCCGAGTGTCTTTTGATATCAAATATATCAACACGAGTTGATAAAAGTGGAAAAATTCCGAGGCTTGCCGAGCATTTTTTCCACTTTTATCGAGTTTGAAGCGGGGTATAAAGGATTTTTTCTGCCTGTCAGAAATCCACGTGCAACCTGTTTTGCTCATGGCGGGGTATAATAAGGTATGATAAGTAAATTTCAGTGTCCAGGCTGCTGGTAGTGAAGGGGGCGGCAACTGAGGCGTAGCATCGATCTGACTGTTGCCATCTGGATTGTACACATCATAGTTGAACTGCTGGAAGTTTGGTGTGTGTGGGCGTGTGGACGTCATATTTTATTTTGAACTGTTCGAGTCATCAGGGGAATTTTATGCTTAATTTGGATACTTTGGACTCCCAAATGAGTTCAAGACAACCATGAATTCAACACATCCAGTTCGACAGATCAGAGTACAAATGATGATAAACATAGAAGGGATTCGCTGTGACAGGAAGGTTGTTTGAGACAACCAGGAGTTGACACATCAAAGTTTGACACAACGAGGTTCGACTCTACGTTATCACAATAAACTACAGTATGTCTAGATACACATGTCTGAGTTTATCAATGCAAGCAAGGGACACATATTTTCCGCATTAATTCCATGATTGACAGTAGTGCTGGGACGGGTAACTCACGTATTCGGGTCGGGTGGGTACTGAGTAGGACCCGGGTACCTACAGAACTACCCATACCCGTGGTTAGTCATGTTATATATTGTTTCATGACATAAATTCACTATATATATAACTACATGGTTCCATGACAATTTTAAGTCTCGCATTTCTTCATGACTATGAACACGTTCCTTCTGACTTATATATGTTTGAACAAAGCAAAAACTTCAGTCAACTTTAGTGTATGCATGACCACATCGTTTTATACGGGTATCTAAATACATTCTGCTAGGGCTACTGTCAAACTATTCCCAATCGGATATTTTGTACCTATTTCTTGACACCAACAGCGGGTACCCGGGTAGGGTCAGGTAATAGGGGTGTGGGTACCTGGGTAGTAAATTTGGACTCGTCCCATCCTAATTGACAGTACTTGACCACTAACATACAGAACATGACGCTTACAGATCATCCAAACATAAGACAAATCAAACTTTAGTTCTTGTAAATTATACATTTTGTATATAAATATATTACACTTTTTGATAATTCAGGAATTTTCAGATTGATATTTGATTCTTCTTTACATGTGCCAGGTTATTAACTTTTCCACTAATTTTTTCTGTGAACTGAACAACAAACTTTTGAAGTAACATTTTTAAAATATGACAATGACAACTGATACACCAAAACTGAGACCATATTTTTCTTATCATGTTACTTAATTTCCACCATTTTTTCATGAATTTCTCCATGTTCCATACAGCTAACAACAGGTTGTTGCGATCAACCATTTTGTGTTTAATTTCAACCATTTTGTTTCATGATAGGTGGTAGTGTGTGAAATAGCCCAAGGCGAGCAAAATTTCTAAAATGTCCCCACCCCGATTGGCTACTGAAAATGAAATTAATATCTGAAACAAATCAAGGTTGCGAGATCAGAGTTATCCCCCTTCATCTTGTTTGAGTGACTGTCCTCAATATAACACACTGCCTAACAAATATGTTTTGATTGGTTGAAATTTATAGTTTAACCAATCAGAAGCTAACAAACATCGAAGGACAAAAAGTGAATTGGACATCTCATATTCATTCTCCTTGAATTTGGAACTGGCTTGTAACTTTTAAAGGGAGCTGGCACATTTCGCCAGCAATATTTCGAGACTTTTTCACATACTGAGAGGCGGTACTGATTAATTTTGCATATTTTGCATATTTTAGCATATACACAGCTTATCATAGCAGAGGGACAGGGCTCACAAGTGCTACATTGAGACTCACCCATGGCTGCGGGGCGTCCAGCGCGTGATGGTGCCCTCAGTGCCAGACTCTCCCGTGTCCTCAGTGCTGGTCTGGCCGTGAACTGCACCCCCTGCGTTTCTGGTAGCAGGCCCGCCATCACACTCGCCATACTGACGACAAATATATATCATTACACTCGCCATACTGACAACAAATATATATCATCACACTCGCCATACTGACAACAAATATATATCATTACACTCGCCATACTGACAACAAATATATATCATCACACTCGCCATACTAACAACAAATATATATCATTACACTCGCCATACTGACAACAAATATATATCATTACACTCGCCATACTGACAACAAATATATATCATCACACTCGCCATACTGACAACAAATATATATCATTACACTCGCCATACTGACAACAAATATATATCATTACACTCGCCATACTGACAACAAATATATATCATCACACTCGCCATACTGACAACAAATATATATCATCACACTCGCCATACTGACAACAAATATATATCATCACACTCGCCATACTGACAACAAATATATATCATTACACTCATGATACTGACGACAAATATATGTCATCACACTCGCCATACTGACGACAAATATATATCATCACACTCGCCATACTGACAACAAATATATATCATTACACTCGCCATACTGACAACAAATATATATCATTACACTCATGATACTGACGACAAATATATATCATCACACTCGCCATACTGACGACAAATATATATCATCACACTCGCCATACTGACAACAAATATATATCATTACACTCATGATACTGACGACAAATATATATCATCACTCGCCATACTGACGACAAATATATATCATTACACTCATGATACTGACGACAAATATATATCATCACACTCGCCATACTGACGACAAATATATATCATTACACTCGCCATACTGACAACAAATATATATCATTACACTCGCCATACTGACAACAAATATATATCATTACACTCACCATACTGACAACAAATATATATCATTACACTCGCCATACTGACGACAAATATATATCATTACACTCATGATACTGACGACAAATATATATCATTACACTCGCCATACTGCCAACAAATATATATCATCACACTCGCCATACTGACAACAAATATATATCATTACACTCGCCATACTGCCAACAAATATATGTCATCACACTCATGATACTGCCAACAAATATATATCATCACACTCGCCATACTGACAACAAATATATGTCATCACACTCATGATACTGCCAACAAATATATATCATTACACTCGCCATACTGACAACAAATATATATCATTACACTCATGATACTGACGACAAATATATATCATTACACTCGCCATACTGCCAACAAATATATATCATCACACTCGCCATACTGACAACAAATATATATCATTACACTCATGATACTGACGACAAATATATATCATTACACTCGCCATACTGACAACAAATATATATCATTACACTCACCATACTGACAACAAATATATATCATCACACTCGCCATACTGACAACAAATATATATCATTACACTCATGATACTGACGACAAATATATATCATCACACTCGCCATACTGACAACAAATATATATCATTACACTCGCCATACTGACAACAAATATATATCATCACACTCGCCATACTGACAACAAATATATATCATTACACTCATGATACTGACGACAAATATATATCATCACACTCGCCATACTGACGACAAATATATATCATTACACTCATGATACTGACGACAAATATATATCATCACACTCGCCATACTGACAACAAATATATATCATTACACTCGCCATACTGACAACAAATATATATCATTACACTCGCCATACTGACAACAAATATATATCATTACACTCATGATACTGACAACAAATATATATCATTACACTCATGATACTGACGACAAATATATATCATCACACTCGCCATACTGACGACAAATATATATCATTACACTCATGATACTGACGACAAATATATATCATCACACTCGCCATACTGACAACAAATATAGATCATTACACTCGCCATACTGACAACAAATTTATATCATTACACTCGCCATACTGACAACAAATATATATCATTACACTCGCCATACTGACAACAAATATATATCATTACACTCGCCATACTGACAACAAATATATATCATTACACTCGCCATACTGACAACAAATATATATCATCACACTCACCATACTGACAACAAATATATATCATTACACTCGCCATACTGACAGCAAATATATATCATCACACTCACCATACTGACAACAAATATATATCATTACACTCGCCATACTGACAACACATATATATCATTACACTCGCCATACTGACAACAAATATATATCATCACACTCACCATACTGACAACAAATATATATCATTACACTCGCCATACTGACGACAAATATATATCATTACACTCGCCATACTGACAACAAATATATATCATCACACTCACCATACTGACAACAAATATATATCATTACACTCATGATACTGACGACAAATATATATCATCACACTCGCCATACTGACAACAAATATATATCATTACACTCGCCATACTGACAACAAATATATATCATTACACTCGCCATACTGACAACAAATATATATCATTACACTCATGATACTGACAACAAATATATATCATTACACTCATGATACTGACGACAAATATATATCATCACACTCGCCATACTGACGACAAATATATATCATTACACTCATGATACTGACGACAAATATATATCATCACACTCGCCATACTGACAACAAATATAGATCATTACACTCGCCATACTGACAACAAATTTATATCATTACACTCGCCATACTGACAACAAATATATATCATTACACTCGCCATACTGACAACAAATATATATCATTACACTCGCCATACTGACAACAAATATATATCATTACACTCGCCATACTGACAACAAATATATATCATCACACTCACCATACTGACAACAAATATATATCATTACACTCGCCATACTGACAGCAAATATATATCATCACACTCACCATACTGACAACAAATATATATCATTACACTCGCCATACTGACAACACATATATATCATTACACTCGCCATACTGACAACAAATATATATCATCACACTCACCATACTGACAACAAATATATATCATTACACTCGCCATACTGACGACAAATATATATCATTACACTCGCCATACTGACAACAAATATATATCATTACACTCACGATACTGACGACAAATATATATCATCACACTCGCCATACTAACAACAAATATATAGCAATACAGTCCGTGTCTTTAGCCAGTAGTCCAAAGCCTAAGTCTAGTGAAATTCGGCTTGGTCTTGTCAGTTCAATAAAAAATATGCCAAATATAACACTGAACTCCACTGAAAATGATGCTCAGAGCCATATTCTGGCTGAGAGACCCAAAAGTCGTAGGCAGTCTGCATTACAGTGGCCATACTGACAACATGTATGTGTACATACCATCTGACTGTTGTGAACATGTTGCCTAGTGCATGTATAAGCAGAGAGGTTTGTTGGTGTTAACTCTATGACAATATGTTTTACATGTGTATCATATTTCATAAACCGGGGTACATGTATTTAGTGCACTGTTGGCTGTTCCTTTCATCACCCCTAGAGCATAAGTATTGTAGTGCTCGATACTAATACTTGTCCGCTGGTCTGAGTCTAGCATATTTTCTTAAGGACCAGTAAAATTAAATAAATGGTGGTCTAGTGTTATTTTGGGGACAAACAAAATAATTTAAGTTTTTACAACTTCTGAAATCAGTGATAGATCAAGTCTTAACTCTAAGCACCAATGTGTCCAGTAGACATCCAACAGAACCAGTTTGTTTTTTTGACAACTGACAAAATTTGGTGAGTGCCAAGCACTGTATTTCATATTGTTTGTTTGTTTTTTAATGTCACGCTCAAGACTTGGCCAGGCACACCAGTTGATATTATGAAAATCCCATCACACTGAAGAGTATATTTACACTTTATATTTCGGAATTTAAGAAAATAAGAACTTTAACCATATTTAATAAAAAATGACAGTTTTGAAAAGAATATTGATTTTTTTTCCTTATTTGCCTGCCAAGTTTGAAATCTTGATAGACAGCATTTAATGACAGTTGAAAATAGAGGACTCCTTGAGTCCCTATAATGTAAAAAGTTACAAATTTGGCAGATCCCTAAAGATTCAAATACTCCAGAAGATGGTTTTAACCCATGATTTTGAAGACAGACCTCAGTCTGTTAAAAAAATGGTTAATCTACCAGGCCAAATTTCTTTTCTTTTCATCATTTTTTAATTCAAATTGTTAATTTAAGATGTGTTATCAAAATTTATCATTGATTTTTCAGGTGTCATCAGAAATTATCACCAAACATTTGATTTGATAAATGGGTATTAATTAATATTTGTTTATTTCACAATGAGATAAGATCTTGTGACTGGTCATGTAGTATCTTCTTACTTATTGATTACAATATCAGTCACAAAACATGCACAACAGATGTTTCCGTATGGAAGGAATCATGGGATACATGTCACATTAAAGCGAGGGACTGAATGTCACAGTCAGCAATGTTCTGGCTGTCACAGCAGTCTGTAAAGAATCAAATCCGGACCAGGCAGTTTCTTAACATATTGAAAATGAACATTATTTTTCAGAGCTTGATATAGCAGTTTATGCAAATTGACTCAGCCACCATCTTTGTGAAATCCAAGGGATTGATTCTGCTAAATCCGAACTGCACCAGTGCAGGTAAAACATTGCAAGTGCAGGTAACTTTTATTGCCAGATTGCACCCAGTACAAGTAACATTTCCCACCACAAGTGCACGGCAGGAGTTATATTTGATAACAGTGGAAAACTTAAATCTTTTAGAACTGGCTGCAATTCTTTTAGAATCCAGAAGTTCCTTATAATAGTGAAAAACACAGGTCTGAAGGCAGCAAATTTTCAGAACTAATTCTTCAAAATTACCACTAGAACAGTAACTCATGCGGTTAAAATCACAACAAACAGACACTTTGAAACTTCTGTTTAAGGTTGTTTACTGGATATCAAGATGTGAAAAGCCGTATACAGATTTCCTCAAAATAAAATACTGGAGCACATTCTTAAGTTTATTTTCCCTTTGAATTTATTCAAAACAACTGAAAACACAGTGTTTCAATTTACAATGAAATGGTGCAGCCAATATTTTGGTGGTGCAACCTGATTAATTTACTTGGTTGCACCTGGTTCAGGAGGTAAAACAGAAGGAAATCGTACCCTGAATCCACAAGCCCAGAAATGATGCTGACAAACCAAGAATCATAATTGGGGATAACACAGGATTCAAACCCGAGACCTTCGGATCCTGGTGTATCTAATCACAGGACCACGTAACTACGGCATGCGGCCTCATCTAGGGGATTTTGTGAGTTTATAGTGAAACTGTTAAAACCACAACATATGCAGTGGTCGATGTGCAAGCCGTAATGTTCTCAAAGTTTACTTGACAGTTGTATGGCAGTTTGTTGGTTTCTACAATATTGTTACCCCCCAACCTATACCCCCTGACCAAAATTGATGACCTCCCTAAAAATCTTCACCACCATCCCAAGCCATAAATTATAAACGTTCCATAATAATAATAGGATGGTACGCTATATTATATCTGTAGTTAATTTATAATTGATCGTAATGGTGCACAAATACAAACCTATTCAATATTTTTGTTCAATTTTTATGACACATTAATTAGGATTGATCGATGCTGATTTTCTTTACCGGGTTCGATAAACAAAGTACCTGTCTTTAGCGACTCAAGGGCAGGCAACTCCGTATTATCGCAGTGTGGCTATTTTGGGGTGTGATGCGTGTGGATTACGTGGTTTACATCACTTCTTGTTTTGGTTTATACATACTCAGTATGTATACGACCTAGGTTGGGTCAAGTGACTTTGTCTGAATGATTGTGTTCTTTTCTAATCAATTTCAAATGGAGGTACGGGTAATTCCGCTTCAAAATCATTCCAGAAACTATCAAAAAAAAGTTAACGTGTATACTTACAAGTAGCCGTGACATACAGCAACAAGTCCTGTATTGGATCAAGCAGTCAAATATCATGCTTAGATCTGCCTAAGTAAACAGTCGACATGGGGTTCAATTACGAGATTTACTGATACCGCAATAACATAGAGTCATACTATAATATTGATGATGATGATGATGATGATGATGATAACAATAAGTTTCGTTTGTTGTTTAATACTGCACTCAGCAATATACCAGCTATATGACGGCGGCCTGTAAATAATCAAGTCTAGACCAGACAATCCAGTGACTGACATCATGAGCATCGATCCACGCAATTGGGATACGATGACATGCATCAAACAAGTCAGTGTGCCTGACCACCCGATCCCGTTAGTCACCTCTTACAAGCATAACTGCCATTTACAGCAAGCATGGGTTTCTGAAGACCTATTCTACCCCGGATCTTCACAGGAATGATAATAATAATAATAATAATAATAATAATAATAATAATAATAATAATATTAATAATATTGATGATAATAATAATGATAATAATAATAATACACTGAACAGAAAAAATTGTGGTTTTTTTGGTCAAACATACATAAAATAAACAGTAGGCCTAACACCGTTCTTGAGGTATTATAGGCCTGCAGGGTCTAGGCTAGTGACAATGTCAATGTCAGTGTTATGTTAAAATATAAGCCTACTGGCTACTGTGAGTTTGAGGTTTTTAGCAGTGACTTCTTCAAACTATCAGTGGTGTGACACAGGACAGTTACCTGATCAAACGCTACTTGCTCTCTGTTTCTTTTCAGTAAATCCAACACGGTGCCATGAAATTATTTTGATCGTTGCCAGCACCGTTATCATAAGTCAAGGTGCACGGAGTCTGCGTTGCCATGTGCCGCCAACTCTGTTGTCAATGGGCGGGAGCGCCACCTTTTACAGAAGGGAGGCTACTCTGTAAAACTTATCGCCTGCTTGATTTGCAAACCATGATGGATTCGTAACTGGCCATGGATCGAGTCTTGACAGGACATGAAAATGAAGAAGTGAAAATTCGCTATTTATGTGTGTTCTTATCTATTACAAACATGTATTTGGGTTTTTTTTCACTGCATATCACTGTAGACCTACATGTAACAGTTGTTATATTTGGGATAACACTTAGTAAAGTACAAATTCTAATGCTTTTGGGGGTCGAGTCTTATCCGGGTCTCGAACCCACACTCTCAGAGGGAGGCACCTAATGGGCAGCACACAAAGTCAGCGATCTAACTCACTCATCCACCGAGGCTTCCACAAAAATGAAAGCCCTACAACTGGTAGTCTAGATCACGTAATTTGTGTACCCCTCTGACAAGAGTAAAGTGCTTGAATGTGTACGCACCTACGAGGTTATCACAAATATAACATTTGTTACATTTGACCACTTTCTAAATGGCATTGTGTATTCGTAGACCTACATGTTTTGGTGCAAATACACCTGTCCCACAGACACTATGGATGAATTGATGTCAGTATGTTTGAAAAAAACGTTTGTCAAGAGATTTCTCTTGTGGGAAGTTAACTTGCGACCAACGCTTATAAAACTGTTTGGTTGTGATACTTCCTGGTAGGACACGAATGTAAAAATGACATAGATCCGACATTATGGCCAACTCTTTAAAATCAGTTCTTAGTTCTTAGTTCTCGCTACCGCTAAACAAAGATCTGAGGACATCCCATTACGGGTCACGTCAGGCTGACCTTGCGCGAACTTTATCAACTTTATGTGATATGAATGAGCTAAACCAGTACACCTCGAAATAAAGTTATGTTTTAAAATTAAATATAAATACATTCAAGCCTCAATGTGTCGAACTTGGATGTGTCGAATTCCCGGTTGTCTCGAACTAATTTGGGAATCCCAAGTATCCAAATTATGTCTCGAACCCGGGATAACTCGAAGTTATTCCATGTGCCCACCAGAAATGGGCTTCACAAATTGTACCAATGTTGGGAATCGAATCCGATTCTTCCGAGTGACGAACGAAAGTTTTAACCACTAGGCTACCCGACCGCCCCTGGTATATTATGTTTTACAAGAGACACGCCTTGATGATTCTGAAAATTTAGAACTCACAAACACCTGGGAGTCACTTTATCTCAACATAAGAAATGGACTGCACATATTTCAATTATTGCTAGGTCAACAGCTAAAACGGTTTCAGACATGCACAAACTTAATAAAAAATCCTATAGATACAATCTTTCAAAAATCTATCTGACATTTATAGGACCTATTCTGGAATCTTCATCTGAGGTATGGGACAACTGTTCTGCCTATAATATAAATAACTTGAATTAATCCAGCTCGATGCTGCAAGAATTCTGACAGGTTTGGCCATATTTCCAACAAGAGTAAGTGTTTACATGTATTTCGAAACGGCCTGGCTACCACTAAAAGAGAGACGAAAGATTTTACAAACCTACGGCTCTACACAAAATAATAATGAACGATTGTCCCTTACACCTAAATGATTTGTTACCCTACAATACTGCTTCAAATTATAACCTACGTAACGAAATAAACGTAACTTCCTTTTGCCAGAACAAGAGCGTTTGAAAAGTCATTGAAACTGCGGAATTCACAAAATGAATATACCAGTGTGTTAAACAGAGTACTTTTTAAAGCTTAATTTAAAACAAACTTTATTATCTCCATATTATTTTACTTATGGAAAGCGTTAAATTAATATTATATACACAAGACTTTGATGGAGAATTCGTATTTCTGGTACGTGGGTCCCTGACAGTTTGATCTATGTCAAGAAACCATGAAAATGTGAAATTGATCACAAGAATGTCTCAATTCGACAAAAGCATTGAATCGTTGAACTAAGAATCCGACTGAAGCTGTCACATGGGACTTCAGGTACGATTGAATACATCGATGTTGACGATGACGATGACGTAATTCTGAAAGAGTGATTCAGCTTGTCACGGAATAACAACGGCTGTCTGATCAGATTCAGGACAAAGATCATCGTACACTGGTGTCCTGGTGTGGCTCTCATCATGTGCGCCAATACCGCACTCAGTGACTGTGAACTTATGGACAATCATGATTGTAACCAGTGCATCAATGGCCTATTGTAGTACCGACCGTATTATTTCACAAACTATTGTAATATACACTTTAGTGTGAAAGACTGAGTTTTCTTAAGTTGAGATATTTTCACTGCAGTGAACATAACACTTGATATTTCACTGCAGTGACCATAACACTTTGACGGAACTATTGTCACACGAGAGTTACCTCCCTGCAAATTGTCTCCCTTTATCGAGGTGTCTGGCCCGTACAACTGTTGACTTCCTTTTTACGTTAGTTCCACATTGACAAGGCATGATAATGACAGATGGTCACGTATGAAGTTAATATCGCTACTTTCCGTTTGTTATTTTCTTGAAAATGTTTCGTTATTAACTTAAACTTTATCATTTAACTCCTCAATAGAGACGGTCCATTTAGCAGGGCGCCATTTTTGTTACATGACAAAACATGCGGTCTCGCTGATTTCAAGAATATTTTTTAAGTCGATTTTGTACACAATCAATCAAATGTATGACAAAGAATTTTAGTGACCTCAAATAATTTATGTTACCCTTGTTTATATTTTTTACGATTTTGAAAACTCGGAACTACTTTTTCCATTTACAAGGGATGGTGTACGTAAAAGGTTACTGCGTGTTAGGTAGGGGGGCTGTCTGTCTCCATCGTATACTATTATAACCATCAAATCAAAGTTTGACTGGTATAATTTTCGAAGGTTTTTGGGATGCATTTTTACCTTATAACAATACTGCTCTCTGTCGCTCAGAATGTTTTTGTATGGATCTAAATGTGAAACACATGTGACGGTTTCACGGGTCTCTTTTATTTCTAGTTTTAGGGATGGTGTACGTGAAAGGTAACTGCGTGTAAGGTAGGGGGAATTTACGTTTCAAGGTTTTACATTTGTAATGAAAAAAAAGAAAGATTCCAGTAGTCAACTACACAAAAAGTAATAAATAAATAGGATGTTCCATGTGTCTCGAGTCAAATATCATGTTTCTCTCATCGAGTGACGGAGGAAAGGAGGAATGGTTTGGCCGAAGAAGTTTAATTATAGCTTGATAGAACAAACACACTCTTAACTAGTGTATTTGCACTTATGTGACAACTTTAGATTTAATTCATACTTTAAGACAAGTATTATGTATTAAATAGTTGACTTGCTTTTCTTAATAATTGAACACCTTACCATCTACATGTACCACTGTATGACAATAGATATAAAATGTATCTCATGTGTGTGTGTGTGTGTGTGTGTGTGTGTGTGTGTGTGTGTGTGTGTGTGTGTGTGTGTGTGTGTGTGTGTGTGTGTGTGTGTGTGTGTGTGTGTGTGTGTGTGTGTGTGTGTGTGCGAGCGAGTGTGTGTGTGTGTACAATAAAAACAATATCAGACCATTAGCTGGTGTTTGTGTCGTGATCGGAAAATTAACGGAAACTGGTGACCGATTAAAAGATGTCTTTTCATTAATTGGTGGAAACAGCACAGGAGATGTCATGCCTGTCATTGTCCTATTGATTTCTTGCTTGTTTGCGCCGACACTCCGACTGTCTGTCTCCATCGTTTAATATTATAACCATCAAATCAAAGTTTGACTTTGGTATAATTTTCGAAGGTTTTTGGGATGCACTTTTACCTTATAACAATACTGCTCTCTGTCGCTCAGAATGTTTTTGTATAGATCTAAATGTGAAACACATGTGACGGTTTCACGGGTCTCTTTTATTTCTAGTTCCAGAGATGGTGTAAATACGTTCGTATAGACATATGCAAGTTGTCCCAATTCCCATCCCATAATGAATATATTGAAACGTATAATAAGTACATTACAGAAGCCCTCCATGCATCTACTGCAGTAAGTATCCCATCAACGAAGTTTAAACCCTACTGGAAAATAGACAACCTGAAGTTATTCCATGAAGAAATGCGCAGTAAAATACGACATTGGCAAGAGAATGGCAGGTCACATGCTAAGAACGATGAGCACTTTGTTAAATATAAAGAAGCAAAGCGTAGTTTTAGAAGACATCATCGTAGATCCAAACAATCGCTCATAGCTAGCAGACTGAAAGAACTCTATGAGGCAGCTGAAATAGATGTACATGAATATTTTACAACTGCAAAACGATATCACAAAACTAAGGGCCAAGTACACAAACTTCTTTATAAATGTAATCAAAGTAGTAACGCGGAATTTTTGGGTAAATACTTTCGAGACTTGTCAATCCCAACCATGGAAAGTCATTTTGACTGCTCTTTTGCTGATGAAGTAATATGCTCAGTCAAAAATATTGAAAACAACGAAACATCTGATGCTGATAACGATGTAACTGCTTACCATCCATTGAAGAGACCATTCACCATTACAGAGGCAGTAAGTACAGTTAAAAGACTGAAAAACAATAAATCTCCAGGACCTGATGGGCTCACAAACGAACATATTAAGTATGCGGGAAGATCTTTATTAAAGCATATTATGGTATTATTCAATGCTATTATTAAACATGAATATTTACCCAAAATGTATCATATTGGTGAAATCTTACCAGTACATACCAGGGACGAGGGAAAGGTAAAAATGATCCATCTAACTACAGGGGCATAACACTAACTTCAGTCCTAAGTAAGCTTTTCGAAAGAATGCTTCTCAACAGAATTGAAAAATGGACAAGCGACGATGTAGCCTTTCCTCACCCACTACAGTTTGGATTTAGGAAAAATGCTGGTGCTGAAACGGCGGCTCTCACTCTTCTAGAAAGTATCGCATACTTTAACGAAAGAAACTCACCAGTTTATTGTGCCCTTCTCGATAACGAGAAAGCCTTCGA